ATAATTGTTAGCTAGCGCTCTAGTTGCTGACAACCGCTATGGTGCTAGCTAACAATTATTGGAAAAAACGATTAATTTCCGGAGTAACTAGCAGTCCAAATTTCGGAGTAAATTATATTTTCCAGATAATCCATCTCCGCCCAAAACGGTAAGTACGATATTAAATTATTATTGAAGTAAATCAAGTAAACATCACTGACAAATTTGTGAAGATATTTTTAATAACTGTTAATTCGTTGAAACACAAATAATTAGCAGTCGGAGGCTCTGAAATCAGCTCGTCAAAAATTCCAGTCAGTGGAATCTGAGGCATCGAAGAGCTCAGAGTTGTTAAAAGGGAAGCTGGAGGGATATTACTGAAAAGTCGCTGAGTCTGCTAACGTCCCATCCGAGTTATCCCGAGAATCTTCACTATGGAAAATTTCCATCTTTAGGTATGGAAGAAAAATCATTTTTCATCTTTAAAAAAATTCAACTATAGGTCCCGGTTGCTTTAGTCGGAAGTTTAGATATAATTGCAGTGGAAGAAATTAATAAATTATCGCGAGCAAAACGAGAGAACTCTTCATCAACACTCAAACTAATTTTATCGTAATTATTATCTAGTCTAAAGAAATAGATGAAAAATAAAATTTTTTATCATCTCCATTTATTTGCAGAATTATTTATTACTCCTTAGAATGATTAAGGACCACTAGACACCAGGAGATAGTTGTAAGTCCGTTTTGCACAGCCATAGTAACGATTATAGAGCAAAATGGTGAATAGTGGAGGATTCTTTGCGAAAGTCTCGACAGGGTTCAAGGAAAAAGTCAGGAAAGTATTTCTGTGGAAAATTTCGTACTAGGAAAAAATGGGTCTTCTAATATTCTATTCGATAAATATCTCAGTTTCTAAGATATTCACGAAATGGTCTGAAAATTCTTTTGCTCATCACTACTTAATAATGCGATGATCCTCGCACTTTCCTAATTAAATACAATTTTTTATTTATGATTACTCATAATTTCTTCATTAGGCGAAACGGTATTGCGAATAAATCGTCCATTCAACGCTAAACAACAGTAATATTTAAATATAATTCATTTATGTGCGATAATTTGTTATATTTATGAACTAATTCCCTTAATTTCATCACTTGAGGCCCATCTTAAAGATCTTTATAATTATTGAAGCGTTAGGTAACATTTATCTGATTTAGGTGGAAAATAAATCCAATTGTCTTCAGATAAAATCTTCTGTACTGACTTCAGAAAGTTTAATGAAGTTGAAAAATTTTGTGAAAAAGTTTTTGATTATCTCAATACCGAGAGATTCGAGAGGCGCATGTGAAGCGATCTATTCCCTTAGAAGATTAGGATCCTCGTGTACTATCTATTGATGTAATGTCTGGTGTTACTTTATTAGCTTGAAATATTTATAAATTCGAGTTTTCAATTGTTTTGTTTAAATAAACCCAATGACTATAAAAAAAAATATAGACAGAAAAAAGGGAAAATTGACAAGGGATCTGCTAAGTTTACAGATAAATAATGAAAAATACCCAGTTTACTGTACATAACATAGGACAGTTTATTTTGATTCTATATTGTTATTGACGGGTACTAAAGTATCTTTTGGCCCCACCATGGAGCTGGCAAATTGCATATGATTAATTATTTATCTGTAAACTAGACAGATCCCTTGGAATCAATATTTCGGTCTGTCGCCCTTCAACAACTTTCCCTCTTTTTTATTATTATTCTTTTATAAGCATTCGAGTGGTTTCCGGAACAAGATTTGAAACCCAAATTTATAAATATTTTACTCTAACAATATAAAATGTAAGCCAAAGATTACGTTCGACAGATAGTACCTGCGAGCCTTTAATTAGGACTAAAGATCTATTAACAGCTCTCCAATGAGTGTTCAATCTTGAGATAATTCGTTAATTAATAGAAACTCTATTGGAAACAGATTTTAAAATTTTTCTTACATTTACTCCACCCCCGAGTCTAATCAACCTCTGAACTAACTGATTAATCTTCCTCTGAGCTTCAGGATGAATAACCGTCTATATAAATCAGTCATATCCTCTTCCAAAACTAGAATTTACAGCTCTCTCCCTTCCATTACAAATGTCGAAAAATTAATCTCTCCAATGCTCCATGCAGCTTATTATATAAATTCATCTATCAACACGACAATGCTGTTCATTTATTGTATTTAAAAAATCCCTAGTGCGTAGTTTAGTTGAATACTGATATTTGTCAAAGCGGTTAGGCAAGACTTGATATTTAATGAGGCCACTTCAATGTAATTTATTTTCTCCTGCCCTCGCTCGTCTGAATCAATCGAACGATTGTCCCTAATGGTAATAAAAAAATTACTTACATAAATTTTTTAATTGACTAAATGTGAAAGTATTTCAATGTGATAATTCAATCGCATATGGGCTTTTGTGATTCAAGCATTTCAATGACAATGTAATTACATCATAATATCGTGAACCAATATTTGACTCGAGAAATCCCTGATGCCAAAAGAACTAATTATATGCCAACTTCCATTGCTTCATTGACTCTTAATCATAAAAAGTACGAGAACTCAACAATAAAGTAAAAATAAATAATAAACTCAAATATGAAAATTATCAATTGTTAAACTAAATAGAATGAAAAACAAAAGGAGCCAACAGTGTGGCTCAAATAGTTTTTTTTAACTGGTCCCGTATTTACTGCTCTCGAAGGTGCCACGCCTGAAGAATGGACTGAACTCGAGGAGTGATTGCTTATCGATGTTACTGAGATTGCCCCTGAATTTATAGAGAGACTCGCAATTGGGTAATTCCGAGCAAACTTGAATTAATTGTCTCAGATATTCCTCCAAACGTTTTCTTCGCTGTTTAGCGATTATCTCGTACCTCGAGAATACCTGTCGTGGTGGAAAGCGAAGAGCCGATACCTAAACATTCATAAAAGACAATGTTTTCAATTTTTTAAGTTTCAGAGAGTTTGTCAATAAATTCTGCTTGATTAGAGATTATCTTGATTACCTTGCCACCATATTTTTGCCTCATACTGACATACAGCTCTCGAAATCGTCGGTAACGACGTAAGAGTGTCCAACTATCATCAACAGCAACTACTCGAACCTCGTACTCATAATGACTGGATGTTCCAGCTCCACGTATCACGTACGAGGGTACAGAAACGATTATACTGATAACAGCACCGGTTGAACTGTCACTCGGTATCAGCGAGGGTAATGATCTTGTGATTGACAGGGAATAGGGACTCCCAAGTCGATCTGCACGATTGATGCTCTGCACACGAATAATTAATCAGCAATTATTATTCAGAAAAAGCAATCAACTATTCAATTTAATGATACTTTAATTGCTTTATGTATATGTATAGGGAAATATACCATATAAAATGTAAAAATGATATGTAATATATATATATATATATATATTTACATATCTGTGTGATTTGATTATTTGATATTTTAAGCTGTTGTAAGCTTAGAAAAAAAATCTCTTTCCAGTTTTGGGATGCCAGTTTGATACATCGATTGAGGACAATCGAAATATAATTCGATTGTGTTTCAATTATTCCGGGCCCTTAATCCATGTTTTCTACTAAAGAATCGAATAGAAAATATTTATAACTAATATGTATTCTAACATAACTTTAAGGTTGACTCTAACTAGACCTTATAATAGATATCTTATATGTATATTATATTATACTATTGCATTATATATACATAGTTCATATATTGTTTAATTCGTGTTGAACAATTGTTTATAAATTGAAACAATTGCTCACGTTTGATTATTGTGCATACACATGCTCTTTTCTAGTAGAAGAAAAAATAACTCACTGTGAGATAAACCGATGAGTATCCTCTGCTGACAGCTCCTTTTTGCTCTCCGTTTCTAGCTTCCCTCCTCGCATCCTCGTCCTGATCACTCATGACATCCCTCCCATCCCCGAGGCCCCCATTTACTCCAGAGCTCCAATTATCATCCTCAGACTCTGTCTCAAGATACTCTCCTGTCCCCTCGATCTCGCTCGACATCCTCATCCCCTGGTAATTCTTTCCCCTTTTGAGCAACCAGATTTCGAGTTCAATTTGCTGCCTCTGGAGGTCCTGGAGCACCAGAATCTGGCGATTTAAGTCTTCCTTAGCTGGTGTAGTGGACTCAAGACATCTCATCACCGTCATCTTCTGCCTGGCGATTCTCTGGTTAAGCCTTTTCATCGCCTGACTTTCTTGCCTTGAGGGATCATCACTCAGTGTCTCCAGTGATCCTCTCTCGTGACTGGCAAATGTCTCATCATCGTCTTCATCCTCATTCGCCGTTATCCCATCCCGTTTAGAATTTTCAACTAAATCATTATCTAATTCTTTATTGTCATCTGTTGATGCGATAATCTCGTAATTATCACTCATTAATTCAGTCTTTTCTTCTTTCTCAGATCGTGAAGAGATGATTTGGTGATTCAACTTTTCGTCGATCTCGTCTTTCTTGGAAGATATTCGATCATCGAAGACTTCTTCTACTAACTCGTCATCGATTTCGTGATTCTTAGATTCTGGAAAATCATCCTGAGGATTTTCATGGTCTAAAGCATAATTGGGATCTGTTGGGACGATGGGGTTCACTGGACTTGATGGAGAGACAGAATTCTGTGGGTCTGGAGTGTCCGCAGCTGCTGTGTGGAAGGTCTCTGTGTCTGTGGAGGTAGGAAGGTCTGGAGGAAGAAGACAGAGAGCTGATGCGATTCTCAGCTTACGATTACAGGCATCTTGAAATGACTTCAAGTCGCAGCTTGAGAGAACATCACTGGAGCTGCTGGATCGACCTGGAGAGGCTGGAAGTGCACGTTTCAGATTCAAGGAGAGCGACTGCTTGCGTTTGAGGATCTCCTGGAGCTGCTCTTGTGTGCGTTTCGCCAGCACGAGCTTCTTTTCAGTTATCTCTTGACCTTCAAACTGGAAAAAGGAAGCAATAATAGTTGAGTGAAGAAGCCTCAGGGGAAAAAGTTGAAGGACACTGTTGTAATGATATTTACCTCGAGATTCAACATTTGCTTTTGCTTGTCTGCCATGTCTAATAATTCCTCTTCCATTTTCTCCACTCGCGTTTGATGTTCGTTCAGAGATTTCACTTTATTCTGAAGTTCTGACTCAAGTGCAGCTAGTTCCTTCTTCTAATATGAATGGATAATTATTTTAGATAATCAATCAATCAGAGAATAATGAAATTAATTGAAGGACAATATAGCTTTTCAATTAACAATAAATCAATACGAACATGATGATTGACGAGTTCCTGCATAGCATCAACCGATTTCCTGTCATTGAAGCTCCCCCAGGACTCTGGTAAGCTGCCTTCACTCATTGCACTCTCATCCGTCTGAAAAATCAAATAAATCATCCTTAATATCAAATCGTCTTTAGAATCAATCACCACTAATCTAAATCTTGAAACTTTAGTTTCACAGTAATTCATCGACGCTGAAATAATTCAAATCAATTTATTCATCTTACCTTAATCGCATGTTGCTGAGACACCACGGATTGGAAGTGATTACTCATGAACTCTTCGAACTGTAGCTGTTTGTTCTGAAGATTGGTGCGCAGTGAGGCAACTTCCCTACACAAACTTTCTACCTAGCCACACATACCATACCTCAGCGTTAACAAAAAAAATTTAATGAATAGTAATTCAAGTAATCACCAAATAAACAAAAACAATATTTAAATATCCAATCGAAGATCGTGGATTTTCACAAAATGAAATCAAATAAATCGGAGATAACAATTGAAAAGTACAATTAAAAATCTTTTAGACTTACTTATAAAGAATTAAGGATGAAAATCTAACGATTAATAAGGAAAATAATTAAACAATGAGAATTAAAGGTGAAATGATGAGCATGCAGTTGTTAGCACAACAATTTCTCATTTCGATTCTTTCACTTTTTTTGTTGTCTTACCTGCCTCCGACTATTCAAGCTTATATTCCAATTTCTACTCTCTTACTTGCTCTCAAATATACTGGGTTTGTTAATTGAATCCTCATAATTGATTAAGAATAATAATTAATCACAAGAATTTAGCGATAAACGAAAAAGATGTGATAATTTTCGCTTAACCAATTTCCAAAAGATATCGTCAAATAAAATGATAGAAATGGAAGAACTAAATTAAATGCGATAAATCAGTTGATAATTCGAGTGGAATATGCCAAACGACAATGTTTCTAAGAAAAATTTATTAATTCATTAACAATCAAGTTTAACAACAATTTATATATCTTCTCTTCTCATAACAAACCCATAGACAATCTAGACGAGTAATCTATTCCCTTATGTACATTATTCCGGCTATCAGCGCACTTACAAAGTTTCTACTTTAGATACAACATTCCAATTGTTTGTCGAGCAATATCAATAATCATGAAAATGAGTATTTGTTCAAATGATTAAAATATAATTAAATGATGAGATTGATTCTTACGTTCTCTATTCAAATTATTCTTAAAAATTCAGCTATCCATCACTCAATCACCAATAAAAATGCATAAAATCAATTAGCTGTCGTGCTAGTTACGGAATTAATTCGGAGCAGTCATCAATTAGTTGAATTTTAGGTGAAAATGTTGAAGAAAAAATCATTCGAGATGTGAAAAAATTTCTGAGACTAGCTGACAATTTTTACGTAAACACGTATAATAATTATATTACCATTTTTATCTCGATAATTCGAGGTAATTCGTCACATATCGAGTGGGCATACGTGAGAATAAATGATGATATTGCCAGACAAACAGATGATAACACCGAGTGCGATGAGGGCAAGGTAAAACTGGCAATTTATCGATATTACATGTACATCCGAATCCGTTGAATCCAATCCACTTACTTGTGTCATCTCGTCCCTCCTTTCTTGTTCGAGTACACGCCGCCTCATACGTAATTCGCGTTGTTTTGTCTCTAATGCTGCTATCGCATCAGCCCACTCTTTCCATTGTGCGCCCCATTCCCTTTCCAACTCTCTCTGTGCACCCTCCAGAGCTTCACGTCTCGCTGCCCATCTTTCCTCTCTTTCCTCCTGTTCCTTCTGAAATTAATAAATTCATTCATTTAAAAAGTTAACAACTCATATAATCCCTTCTTCCCTTATAAAACAATCTGTGGGCGTGACGCTGGTTCTTTTGCAGCTTTCTACTAAATAGTCCCTTTTTTCTTTTTTCATAAATTTGATGATTTTTTATAGGCGTGTTTGTATCGATTTTGCTTATTATTGATGAAGTGACTAATTAAGAATGTGGTCTTTATAACAGGTATCTGAAATTACTTAATTAGTGGAGGTCAAGAAATTCATTGTAAAGACTAAAATCCATGAAACTAAAATTAAATTCTCAATGACTATATTATTATAAGATGACGGCCTATTTAAATTAACGGCCATGAACATTTGCAAGTCTTCTTGTTAATATATTCGATACCATTCTAAAAGAAAATCGAAAGAATTAATAAATCAAAGGTCGACCCACCTTGAAGTCTTCTTTCTCCTTAATCAAAGCTGCTTTTTGCTGTTCTAATTCCTCGAGAGCCCTCAAATCCTCACTGGAGTTTAGCAAATTGTCGCTGGAAGTTGAGGCATGAAGATCAGATACACTCCAACTCAGTAGAGACAGTCTTGATAAATTGACAACAGTTGGTTGAAGATTTCCATTGCCAGACCCACCCTCTTTCCTCAATTTTGCTGCCTCAACGGGATCATTATACCTGAACATATTGTTTCTGCCTAGGAGGATAATGCAGCCCTGCGATAATCTCGTTGGCTTGTCCACTTGGACCATATTAATCCAGCAATGAGCCGACAGGGGCAGGAGAGTGGCCACCCCAGCAACGAGCTCCACAACACAATGTTCAGGCTCGACATCGGGTCCAGTCAAGGCTATATCCTGAATAGAATTCGCCTCCTCAGTCCCTACTAGAGTTTTTCCCTCCTTAAGATGATATAGAGTTACCCCCGTACTCAACAAATTATCCTCGATGCCCACCAAATGAGGCATCTCTGAATCTAGAACTACTCCAACTCCACTTTTACGCAACCCCAATGCTTTCTGCTCCTGGAGGATTTTCTGTGTTTCCCTCCACTTCTCAGTCCACTCTTCCGTTAAGACCTTTTCCTGCTCTTGCTTCTCATGAATTTGCGCCAGCAATACCTTCTGCTGTGGAGGCCTCTCTAAACTCATGTCCTTCCCAATCAACGATTTCAGTTTAAGAATTTCCTCTCGCAGTTCACGAATCAATTTGACGTTTGCATCTTCGTTTATCGTGGGCTTGTTGATGATGTTCTTGGCTCTGTTGGCGTATCGAAGAGTGCTGAGGGTTTCCCCGTAATTGCAATCTGCTGGGCTTATAGCGGCGATCATTATAGTCTTGGAGTTACCTCCGAGGGAGTCCTTCAAGAGCCAGGTGAGGACGGAGTCCCTGTAGGGGATGAAGACGTTCTTTCGGGAGTTGTTAGAGTCTGTAGAGGATTGAGATACTTCTGCCAAGGCGGATATGACTGAGCCCAAGGTTACCAGGGATTTGTTTATGTGAGCTCCTTCCTTCAGACGTTGACCAGTGGCTCCAGTGGCATTCGCTCGTTCACTGCAATTATTAAGGTAACGAGTAAGGGAAACTTATCATTCAAATAATATCTTATATAATCCCAGTTTAAGTTTTACCTTCCAGCTAAATCGACTAAATGTACTTTAGACACCGTCTCCGAAGGCATATTACCCTCTGAGAATCCAGCCTGCACGAATGTTATTGTAAATATCGCATGACTCCTACTGCTCACGTCATTCATATTTGTACTTGCGGTGGTTCTATGTGTATTTCCCCGGACCATACATTCCTATGAACAAATTAAATTCATCAAGGCTCACATGTACTATCAACCGAACGTGATCTTTCGTTTGAATGTGATTTTGTTAGCCTAATATATTTATAAATTGCGGTTTGAAGTTGTGTCGCGGAATATTCACCTGAATGTCAGAATAATCATAAACCAAGTGATTGGATAGATCTTGAACGTAAGGTCCCCTCTTGGGATGCTCTCGAACTTTCAGGGAATGTGATTGACTCTGCTCTGGCCTCAAAAGGTCGCGTACTCGTTCATTGTGAATCTCGAGAAATGACACTTCCGTTCTATAAGATGCTCCTGTCTCCTTACCCGCTGCCATCCTCGCGAATAAGGTCTTGCATATTCTTGGGATTAGGCCTTGGGCTTCCTGCGTGAGGCCCATAAAACAACTCAAGTCAATCATTAATTAACGAATAATCTCCTTAATGAAGAGTGCTGGCACAATTAACAGAGATTTGATGCAGAATTTTATGCAGCAAAGATCTGATAATTGCGTAATAAGAAAAAATAGTGCAGGTCAATGGATATTAACAACGATGATTGCATTATTTACATGAGAATAAATCCAAGGAAAAATTGTTATGAGATAATTATTATTGAAAAATTGCACAATTTTGTGATATGATGCTAAATAAAAAACCGTTTGATCAACTATTCAACTTGAGCTTCTCGAGGTGATAATTACCGGCGAACCCATCATCGTAAAAGTTTTTCCAGAGCCGGTCTGACCGTAGGCGAAAACGCAGGCGTTATAGCCGGCGAAGGCACTCTCAATGACGTCTGTACCAAGATCATAGAATACCTAAAGCAGTAATGATAAATATTATGATACTATAAATGGTGCGAAAATCGTGTACCACAGGTGTCTCTCCATTTTCTCTGATCCTTAATTTATTCTGTGATGTAATTATGATGCTATACGTTTACGTCGCACGGAAACAGACACCCCTCAATACAGCCACACGTGTTCTGCGAACATGCGACGCAATAAATTCCAATCACGGGGGGATTGATTGACGAAGATTACCAAAAATGAATTGTGAAACCGTTATAAATAAATTTATCAAGTTCATGAACTGCTCATTGTTAGAATTAAGTTCTAACTTGTTTTATGGTCGTTTCGTTTAGATTGAATTAAATATCAGCGAATAATCGGTTCTCTGGTCAATTTAATGTTGAGTAAATAGAGAGCAAGTTTTTTGAGAAATGCGTATTTAGTTGTATGAAGAAAGTCATACCCAGGAAGTTCAGGAATTCAAGTTCCAAAAAAATCGTACCTTGTACTAAGAAAAAACATTTAGACAGGAGATTTTGTATTTCTCCGAAAAATGATGACCAATGAATTGACAACAAAAAAATCGACTTCTTGACCCAAGTCAAGAAATTTTTGTTTATTTTTATTAAATAATGATAATAACCACAAAACGTTATTTTCTTTCACATCAATGTGATCCACGATGACCCATGAATTTACAAAAAAAAAACATGAGAACTGAGAAGATTTTAGCAATAACTTCTTAAAGCCAAAATTTTCAACTCTGATTCTACAATTTATTATACTGACCTCGTCCTGCGATGCATAATGCCCATCATTAGTATCAAAGGACCAATAGGAATGATCGAATGTGAAGTCCTTGTAGGTCTCCTTGTCAATGTCTCTACATCCCCCAGGACTCTGAGCAGACAAATAATGGGAACGATTGATTAGTCATGTTTTAATTTACGATTGTTAGTTCAATATAAGCTCATTGGTTGTTCAAGACAATAGCAACGAATCATCAATGCGGTAATCAGTGGGTTTGACCGTCCGATGACTTTCTCCGAGATGTTATGAAGCAACAGCTGATTAAAATAATTATATTCCCTTGCGATTATGTTTTCAATCATGAGAAACTCCAATTGTCTTGGTTTTTACTGATCTTCATATATAATTATTTTATTGATTGGTGGAAGGATTTTTCTCGATAATTAAAGTTTTATTCTTGATTCGATCTTTCGACCAGTCAACGCATAAAGGAAGCCTCACCTTTCTCGAGACATGAGTACCGTTAGCTGGTGATTACATTCAACCACTCAAAACAGTAAAAAATATCAAGCAATATCTTTTGTCGAATAAGTTTCACCCGTTCCGGAAATGCAGTCACGCTCGATTAGACCACGATCAGTTACTCTCGATAGCTGGAAGTAATGACATAAAAACATTCTCCAACTCTTTGGACTCACCTTGCTGCTGAATATCCGTGTCTTCATACCGTCCATCTGGACTATGAGTTTGGCGTTCATAGCCAATTCTCTGGAAAAAAAAGGAAAAAAAATGGCTAAAAAAAGGCAAAAATGAGGAATGCAAAATACAAATGACCGATAATGAACAGAGGCTAGCTGCCAGGCCTTTTCGAGTCCCTACATTACTTCCCATTATTTGTGGTAAATAGAACTAGAACAGGACGTTGCACAATCTTTTAGAGAAAAATAAATTAATGAATGAGAAAGTTAAGTGTAGACTGCAATAGATTACGGATTATTTTGTGAATATCACAAGAAGACGTCAAAGAGTTTTTCTTGTAGATGATTAGGAAATTCAAAGAGAATAAACAAATGATTTTTTAGTCGTAATTAATCGTATATTGCATAATCGAGTTATTGGATGTATCTTCTCATTTTTCATGTTTTTTGTAAATTTCATGGAAGACATGGATCAGATTGAAAAATATAGTGTTTTTCGGTTTTATCATTATTCAATTATTTACAAATTTGAGTCATGTGTTTATATTTCTGATTATTTGCTACAGCTGTGGGAATTTTCCTAAAACTTTACTGAGAATATTCTGAGAACAGGAAAATTCCTCTGCTGTAGTGAAACTTTCAGACATTGAATAAAACGGTATATTTTTTCACGTCAATTTTAGCAACCACTTCTCAGAGATTTGTGAAAATAATCTAAAAATGAGAAGATATCGGCAATAACATTATTATATTCTCTACACAAAAAGCATCTCAATTTTTCCTCAGATGTGACAGCCATAAAATACCCATAGAATAATAATCCCGGCTGAATCATCTGTCTGAATTTTCATCGTGATTTTCTTTCATGAGTCGCGGGTGTCATATCTGTGTCTTTCCGCTCCGAAACGTCGAGAGGTCATACGACAAGTGCCCCCCACCCTTCGGTCTAATAAACAACAAATGAAAACACAAGAGAATAAAAAGACAAACTAAACAAGATCAAGAGGAAAAGTGACAGATACGACAGGTGGGAGTACGTATATGTAAATTATGTAGACGCCATCTGGGTGATACTCGAAGGAGACGACCTTTGAGGTGGACAGAAATCCGGGAGAAAGAAAATACCAAAATCATTGGAAAAGTCTCACACCCAAAAACCAATTCAATTCTGTTCACCCCATAAAAAAAATCCGATAATTGTACAACAGATTGTGCCTGAGACAGTGTCTCACCTCTTGTTGAAGGGTCGAACCCTCACGGCCACCTTCACCGAAGCCATGATCCTCGGTACAAAACAAAAACCGACAACCAGATAAACAATCACCAACACTCACTCTAGTTTTATTCACGGATATTTGACACTATTGTTACGCGTCCAAAGAGACATCGTAACGACTGATGTTCGTCTTAAATGTTATTGTTTCGTTTGCACAGATGTACACCATCATCTTCGTCAGACGCAATTCGCTTTCACGTACTGTTACGCTCGAGACACTGGCGCACTGACTGATTATTTAGAACCTTTAGAACGTGTGGGTGGAATGTCCAGTCCAAGGGTACATAGAGGGAGAACGGTGCATTCGTGTTGCGTGCGCAACATGCATAGGTGGAGTGGCATTTTCAAATTATTTGGAGATGAATATGTGGTCATCCACATGAAACGGACACACTTTGTCAATCCTTATTTCCGAGATATTGACATTTTTATTTTTTTTAATTTTATTTTATAACTTTTTGGAATGAAACAATTTGATTTAATGTGTTTTGATTGTTTTTGTTGATTATGATTGATTTGTTTTGGAGCCATTGTTTTTTCTAATGATGATTGTGTTTTTTCAAATTAAATTGACATATATAATAGATGTGCACACGACGAAAATCCCTCACATCGCCATGGACGAGGCTCATTGTCTAAGTCAATGGGCCACGACTTCAGGCCCAGCTATCGACAGCTGGGGAATGTAAAAAAAATACTTCCAGGAGTACCTGTTGTAGGACTTACTGCAACTGCAACAAAAGGAGTCGTCGACGATATCTTGAAACCCCTGAAAATGAATTCAATAAAATTTTCCACCCCTATATTCCGGGAGGATCTCTACTGCGATGTGCTGTTCCTCGACATCCCGCTAAATCCCATGGAGTACCTCAAAAATTCATAATTCAGTCCTTGGTTCACAGACTAGAAGAACTGTGGATTTATTTACTGCCGGAAGAAGGAAACCACGGAGATGTTAGTGAACACACCCACTGAAGGAATATCCACCCTGACTTTATATTACACGGGTTTCGACACTAGGAGTCAATCGGAAGCTGAAGACAAGTGCAGAGGACCAGATGCCAATGTTTGCAGCAACCTGCAGCTTTGGAATGGAGGTAGACAATGGATCAGTTAGATTCGTGGTCCATTGGACGGTGTCCCCGAGTATAGCTGCGTATTACCAGGAGTCTGCTAGAATTTATTTTAGTATTTTAGTATTTATTTATATATTTTAGTATTTATTTATATATTTTAGTAACGATGAATACAAAACTATTTTTTAGTGCCTGGATGTTTAGTGGATTTATTTAGGGTTTGGTTGAAGTTCAGATGTTTAAGCCGAGCCCGTTCAAGGTTTCTTTAAACTTGCCCCAAGTGTAACCAATATGGAGTCGAGATTAAGTAAATGGCAAAAATTTGGATGAAGTTGTCTAGGATATCATATTCAGTACTCTTAAGTTGCAATAGTAGTTTCTATTCTGCAACATTCGAATTTGGACTTTCACATCGCATCGATTCTACTAGACAGGACTAATTTTTTTGCGAATATATTGTACAGTTGCAGCTGGTGTGCACTTTCTTCAAATAGTGGGAAGATGAAGTTCTTCTATTGCTTTTTTCATCAGGGATTAGAGTGCGAACTTAATCTACAGTTATTAGGGAAAAAAAGCACGTGTACGAGATAATTTCATGCAATATGAACATCAATTTGATCAAAAAAGTCAATTCTAAAGGACAGACTTTCATACATAATGAACAAAAAACTAAATAGATTGAAGAATATTTAATCATTCACTTTACACATAGACTCTTCCCCTCACAATCATGTCATAACATAACATTCATGTCGTTCAGACCTCTAAATATGTATAAATATAATTCACAAGGTTGAGTGGTGGTACCATTTCATCGACGTCACCTCAGAAGACATTCCGGCAGATGGGACACGTCGCCTTTTGACTTGTGCTGAACCATTTGTACTGAAAAAAATATAGACATATAGATAAACAAATCCGATCTCCCTACAATAAATAGTATATATAGGGGCATTCCATGTCAACTCAGGCATCCCCATTTTTTAATATAAAAAAAATAAGAAAAAGTAAATAAAAATAAAGCAAAACGAAAATATTAATTAGCTGTCGCATTTAAGAGGTATTTAGAAAATCTTCATATCGAATTTCATTCCTTCATCATTTTTTGTTCCTGAAATTATGTTTGAAGAACTTGAAATATTCGAAAATTCATAACTTTCGAACGGCACATTGGCTTTGGATAAAAGAGAAAAAATCGTTGTTTTTGTATATACTTCAAGGAAAAAAATACTCCTCAGCCGTAAACGAAATTCTATATTGATTTTTCGTAAAATTTTTTCGTTTTTATTTATTTTTCTTCGTTAGGGCCACGCGATATTCGATTGGAATAATTTCTTTTGTATTAAAGAACATCGACTTATGATATATAAAAAAATACGCCGTTATGGAAGAGACCCCGAGTGTATTAGATTTTTACAATACAATTTGCAGTGAAATTTGAGATGAATACACTCTAAATATAGCACTTCAAGGTGCGACAGTTCGATAATTTATAGATAAAAAAAAGGGTGGTGGACATGGAATATATTGCAATATAACAATATTAGGTATCAGCACTTATACTTCCTCCAAATATTTTCCCCGAAAAATAACACATATGTTAATTTTTTTGTAGTTTTGCAGACAAATCAATTTGAAGATTTATATATACTGATTACCACAACATTATTTTTACTCACCAAACAAGGAGCATGAAACTTCTTCCTGCAGGTATGACAGGATAATTTTGGAATTTGATAAGTATTGACATGAAATATGCTGAAGCAGATGTAGCACTCCTCGACTCCAGCAAATTTCTTATCCATATTTCTCTTCCACATCATAAGTCCATCCCAAATGGATCCATTCTGATGTGTAAGAAAAATTGACAGTTGCATATGACAATTTCTCCAGTTGGAGGCACCCCCGGCATGCTGTCCAGGCTCAACAGTGACTAGCCCCAGTGGATGATTTCCAGGAAGCACCATACTCAACTCCAATTTCGTATCATCCATCTCGTAAACAGCAACGACGGCCCTGGGTACTGGTTGCACCTTAATTTGCATATTATCCACATCATCCAATCTCTTATGAAACAACTCCTCCCGGCACAGGATGGGACTGACGTAAAGAGTCGTGATTCTATCAACAGCACTGCTGACTCTGCTCTCAGTTGTGCTCCACCACTGCCTTGCGAGTACAGGGAGATGCCTTAAACACTTGATGTAAATCCAGCAGACAATTTCCTCGATCCTGACGTCACTCAGACTCCCTCCTATTTCTACCTTAACTTCACTCCTGAACATGTCCCTTATTTGATCTACAACCCTCTTATTCCTGTTTTCCTGCAGCACTTCTACAGGGATGAGCCTGAAGACATTGTTCAGAAGACTGGGGAACAGCTCGTCCTTAAGTACCTCAGCATACTGATACCTCAAATCTGCATGTGCAGTTTCACACATTTCCAGCAGAATCAGCCACTCCAGCAGATAAGCCAAAGTATAAGTGTACGAGTCGGTGTGGGTTTGAATAACGCAGCTGATAGTGTCGCATAATTTGAAATCCATCAACATCGCATTGACGATTCTCTGATTTTCCGTGAGGTTCTCTACAAACTTGGCAAGATTAAGCCTCTTGCAATCGAAATTCTCTTCGTCGATCAACAGCTTGTCCCTCTCAACCATCTTCGGAACAAGGACTTTAAGAAGATGGAAGGATGATATCTGGATGGAAGCCACTGGGGATGATAGCAGCTTGATGCAGAGAAGCATCAACTGATTTTCATTAATACTTGAGGATTCCCCGAATAGAATGTCTCCATCCAGAATTTTTAAGGCAGTTCCCAAATGATTAATAACAATTATTGGTGTCAAGAAATGGTTCTTCGAGTTGAGTAACTTTCCGTAGAACATCCAGATCTCCACAATTGACTCATAAACATTCTCAGCGAAGATATCTCTCCATTCATCTAGAAGATTCTCCGGGACTCCAGTAATCCTCTCACACTTGTGCCTAGTGATAACTGTCTGGAACTCAAAGAAGAAATCACTGACTGCAACCGCAAAGGATCGGACCGTAACATCTTCGTGGTACTCCTTGGATTTTGATAAGGACCCGAGCCAAGAAGAAAGATAAACCATAGCACAATCCCACAAACTAGTGTCCAATTCCTCAGGGAATGTCTTAATGATGTGAGTGAAAAGTCTGATGAACTCCAGACGCAGATAGAGATCCGATGTAGATATTGTGGTGATGCTCGAAGGGTTTTCTCCATCATTCAGCAGGTAGACTCGTTTTTTATGGAGAGATATGAAGTGTTTGAGGATCTTTATAGATTTAGAACGATGTTCTCTGCTCTGGAGGAGACTTCTAGAGATTATAAGTGCATTCAAGTGATGGCTGAAGGTCTTTCCTACCTCGACTCTGTCTGTTTCCTCCTGGAGACTATCTAAATAGTTCACCAAAAATTCAGCCTCTCGTACCTTTCCGCTGATAAAATGCTCTTCATCTTGATTCAGATATTTTATAAACTCATTAAAGAGACTCCCGAACTCGACCCAGAAAATGTCGATATCCGCAGGCTTCAGGATCCTTGCCCAAACATTTCTAGGAACTTCGTCCCTGAGCTTTTTGCACTCCACTTCTACCTGCCCATGAATTTGGAATATTTTCTCATAATTCCTAGAATATTTGTAATGGTTCTGGTACAGCTTTCCTAAACTGGTGATAAGAATAGTGGAGTTCAGAATAGTTAGAAGCTTCTGCATGCAATCGTCGAAAGCAGACTCGTCGATCTCATCAGCATCCAATTTGAGGAGGAGTTTGTTGATAAGTTTGGCATTGAATAACGCCCATTTTAAACAAGACTCTGTCGTATCCGGGATTTTCTCACTCTCCGGAAGGACTAGGGTCACCTCTCCGTCTAGTTTAATACTCCTGAGTGAATTTTCAAGATAGAAATTTCCAGAGATGATTTCCCCCTGGACCACCAAGTCCGTAGCATGAGGAACCCATTCATCGGAGATAATTTCCTGTTCAAAATTGAATTTTATCAGAGCATTGAGAGCCTCGTGATACTCGAAATTACTCGAGGACTCGATGAAATCCATCGATACATCGACGAGCTCCTCGATACTTATGCCATCAGACCCGTGGAGCCTCTGGTAAATCATCTCGAAGCAGTCTCTCTGAACATCGAACAGCATTGGCACCCCGTTTAGACCGTTCAACTTGTGTTGCACACGCAAGAACCCGATCTTCCACTTCTGTTGGATATCTTCTTTAATTTCAGTTGATAATTCTTCGTTGAGACTCAACTCAAAGAGGGTTTTGAGCAGCTTAAGAGACCCTGAAGTCCACTTTTTGTGACTCCAGGACAACTCCAAAAGCTTAGCCATCAGTTCAACAGCATTTTTGAATACTTTATCATTGAGTTTTCTTGGGACTTGACAGAGAACTTCTGAAATTTCATTGATTGCTGTTTCATTGACTGATAATTCCTCAGAAGTTGACTCGAACGCCAATAGGAGAAGTTTTTCATCGATTTCCGCTGGAAGTTTTTTGACGATCTCTTTGGAAACGTTCACTAGATGCTCGGTTATCCTTGGGGCGTCCAGCCACCGCCTGATCAGCTCATCCTTTCTATTTTCCTGCTGAAGACCACAAGTGATGGTATAATTCAACAGACTCCTGTCATCGAGTTCCGTCAGGGAATTTAAAACGATATTCTTCTCTTCATTCGTCATGTACTTTAGCAGAGTAAAGATGAGGTTGACGATTACGCCAGTATCTTCGGAGATCTCTTTCACTCGGGGTTTCAATACCTCGTTATAGAAGTCCAACAGACTTCCATCTTCTCGTTGCACTTTTGCAAGAGAGGTGAAGAGTTCTTTAGACTCAAATATTGAAATCAATTGATTCAGATAAGCAATATCATTGTTGCACCTGATGTATGAAGTGCTGAGGTTGTTAACGAATAATTCTAACTCTCCGAGGAAGACCTCATCGTCCTCTGCTGCATCAGCTTGATGAACATCAAGCTTCTTCTCAATCGCGTCTTCAGAATCCGCGAATCTCACTTGATGATGTTTTCTAATAGAATTCTGAGGCTTCTTCAAACTCATCAAGAATTTAATTTCTGCATTATGAATGTTATCGATCATCGATTTATCATGAGAATCAACAGTCGCTGTTACTCGTTGAAACATCGTTTCGATTTCGGTCCAAAAGATTCTAATCAGTTCTGAATATCCATATTTGCTATTTCTGTTTTTACTCCAATACTTGACGAGTCCAGTCACCTCAGGGAAAACGATTCCCTTGATGGAAGAAAAATCCCTGATACAGACTTCGACGACAGGTACCAGGTGGTCGGACAAAAGAGTCCTGCAGAGCACTCGATCCTCATTATTCAACATTATGGTATATTTTAGGCACTCGACAAATGATTTGGTGATGGCCAGCATCTCGGAGCGGCTCATAAGAACAGTCTTGACAGTGAAGGCCAGTCTCATGTTCTCGAAGAAGTTAACGAATAGTTGAGATTTGTTATCAACATTGAATTTAGGGAACTGTGAGAGGAAGGGAAGGAGACAGGGATAGACGACTGAAGCACATCCTTGTCCTCCGTTTCTCAGGACCTTCCACAGCTTGGGAAGGACTAGTTTCTCAATGCTCACGGCCGTGTGCCAGTCTTCGGTGTTGTCGATGGCTACAAGGAAGCACTCCCAGACGGCTGACAATATCCCTGGCTCTGACTCGTCGAGGCTATTCATTATTATCGTTATTGTTCGCTTCTTCTCGTCCTTGAGGAGGGCTGGAGCATGGAAAATCAGTGATGATAGCACGTTAAAGAAGGCGGTCTTAATCAACAAAGTCTCGTGTTTTCCGAGCTTCCAGAACTTTGGAGAGGAAATAATCTGATTATGGAGATTAATGGGCTTCATTATTTGATGAGAGGGGACTTGTTTGAGATAGTGGGAATATCCTTGAAGACTGCATATCAAAATTCTCTGATATTTGGTTTCGGTTTCCTCAGGGGTGAGAATCTTTTGAGTGGCGAGGGATTGGGGGCATTGGTGGGTCAGGTTATCCCGAATGTAGGTGAGGATCTCCTCCTGGCAGTGGACGATGGCATCAATTAGTTTCGTCTTGGGAAAGGTTGATTGGAAGGAACTAGCGGCAGCAGAGGCGGCGGGAGGGTATGTGTCGAATTGAGAGGTGAACCAGGGACCTGCCAATTGTTTCAGGTAGAGAGCTATGCTGCGGCCCACCCGGAGTACCAACGCCGAATGGGCGAGCTGAGAAGCTTCACGGACACGATGATCAATGTCCACGGCCCGAGCGCAATAAAGACGGGGCCAGAACGGAAGGACTGCTTCCACCGAGGGAAGTGCAGAGTTTCTGCAGAGGTCTGCGAATTCTTGCAGTGCCTGAAGAAATATCATACGATGTATTTTGGTTTTGTCTTTACAGCGTCGAGAATGAAATTGTTACGAAATGTTGAGGAACTTGGAGGCAAAAGTTAGTTTACGGAAAATTTAGGATGCTTAATTGTAGATATTTAAAAGAATTTTAATGATAAACTAATGGCAAATGTTGAGTAAAAAAATCGCGGGATTTCTCGAAATAAAAATACCCTTGTAAAGCATTACGTTATGAGTATATGGAATATTCTATCCGAAAAATTCATACTAAGACAAAGAGCAGTCATATCCTCTCGAGACCCTATATTTAGTATTCTTTCGCTTGATGATAGGCTTTTACTTGGAAACTCGAGATGAATCTTATCGCATTTTTAAGAGGAATTCATTAGCTTTCATATGCATCGATTCTCTTGCGGATCTCTTTTCTCATTCTTGCGTTATTTTCGATTAAAATTGATTTTTAATTGTGGTTTGTTGTTTAGAAATTATATATCCCGGCCGTATAACCTATGTTGCCGGAGCTATTAAAGAAGAAGAAGAATTATATATACTCTATGGAGGAAGAGAAAAGTAACATAAAATTGGTCGCAATGAAAAAGGAGATTCGACGGCATTAACATCTATATAAGTAGTTCTTTATTTAAATTAGAAACAAATGCAATCATATAAAACACTAGTCCACGGGTTCTAGTTGACTTGAATTTAGTTAAAACTAAATTTGAAAACTCTTAAAAAATTGTTGATGAAATATTCTCATGCAAATGTACTAAACAAAAATTAAGATATCCTTGAGGGAGTGTTGGATTGGAGCTGCTATAATGGCTGAACTGAAAATACCTTGAATTTTGTTGTTGGATCTTTCTTATTCATCTTTTTGAAGACCATCTGGAATTTGGGATCAATTGTGTTGATCTCCACTTCGTTGATGGCACTGATGGAGAGTCCAGGGAGGACAGGTACGTATCCCCCATCTTTGACTGCCGAAAATCCCACAAAATTGGGTATCGATGTTCCCAATAATTCGGCACTCCTGCTACTGTTTGAGGGCTGCAAATAATAATCATTGTTTATATATCTCTATATTGAGGTTAACTAATCGAAAGAATGTAAAAATTCAACTTTACCTTCGCGTTGTTCTTCGTCCGTTGCGATTTATTCTTCCCCATAATTATTTCTTTACACCTTCACAATCATTTGTACTGCCAAAATCTCATTATTATTATTCATTATTGGATTGACATGCACCATGCAATACGGATGTTCACAGATGTTCGATGTCACATCGATATTGCTGACTATCGATATCTCCCGGGCGCGCGCGTTTTGAAAGAACTCTATCGACCACTCGAAATATGAACAAACGTATAAAACCAATGTGCAATTGATGTCAATTAATTGCTCATTAAATATACTGGAGTAGAAAGTGCAATGAATATCACCGACATAAAGATTTAATATATGATTATGTAATCAAGGAAGAATACTCGTAGATATGTTCGCCGAAATAAAGGCTAGTTGAGAAATGGTAAGTGTAGCAATTTTTGAAAATTATTCTGGAAAGTGGATTCTCACGAATTTTTAGAGTCCCCTGCGCAGTCTCATTTCTATAAATAATGACAACTTCAGTTCAGGATGAAATTTCGGGGGGTAAAAAGATGAGAAATAAAGGCAAGTACGCAATTACATTTTTCTCGTGAGAGCAGTTGTACATCGACGACATCGACCAATAACACATAACATCAGCTGTTTTTTTTTTTCACTTCCAAAAATCCACTCTACCACCTCCAACACTTTTGATGATCTCACATTGACAAAATTCGCAAGTTATCACGAATTGTTTATTTTTAGAAACAAAAATGTTCTTGCAAAACTAGTCGTGAGGATGGTGTCTTGGTCGGTGGACGTCTGTAGTCAGTGGTGAAAAAACTGCCACTCATTTTTCCGCGGAGTAACGACCCAAGGAAGATCTCCATCTCCATTTCTCAAGGAATTTTTGTTAATTATTTCAGGAATAATCTAAGTGAAAGTTGTGGTTCTGAAATTGGGCCTCAATCCCTCTCATCTCAACATTTTATGGATTGATTTCGTGATATCTTCCGCCTCCGTTGGTGTTCTTTGTTCATCAGTTTTGGAATAATGTCAACAATGAGGAAAACAAAGTCACGTATTTTCTCCGATATTTATAACCAGCCGTATGATTACGGAGTGAGGACAAAGCTTTACTCCAGCAGCAAAGGTAAATTAAATTTTACGAGGAAGATCTTATGAGATGATTTACTTCAATTGTCTTCTGTCTTCATTATTATTTTCTCAATCCGTGGATCGAGAAGATAATTTCACGCTAAATACATTCTGTCTGAATAAATAATTTTTATCATTTGATTTTTTTTTAAAGCATCTCTGCAATTAATCCAACGCATGTCACTTCTGAAGCGTCTAAAAGTCCACAACGGCTGTGTAAATTCTATATGCTGGAATAGCACTGGTGATCTGATACTTTCAGGAAGTGATGATCAGCACTTAGTACTCACAAACACCTACAATTACAAGGTAATTGTCCATCCTCAGAGTCTGAATCCAAACATCAAAGGGGAAATGACTTCGCCAGACAGTAGATTCGTCATTCTGGCATTCAAAGAGACAGGAATTAGAAATAAGGAAATTTGAAAGAATAATGAGAGACAAGCTAGACAAGGTTTAACATTGGCCCATATTGTATATATCTCTCTTGCCAAATGCTATGAAAAATTTCACGTGTTCCTCGTCTCTAATTTTAGGCCTTCAATCTAGGACTCAGGGTGTTGGGTAGGCTCTTTAGCTCTCATTGACCTCAATGACAGTGAAAAATGTCAAGGACTTTGGCTCAAGTGCAAGCTAGCACATTAAATTATAATAAATCAGTCAAGTTGAGCACAAACGTCAAACAAAAACTATTATTCTTGGGGCAAATGTTAAAGAAAGGGAAATAATCGGTTAAAAGCTACATTTCCTACATTTAGGCAGTATATTTATCTGTAATCTTTACTTGAACTACAGATCTAATGTTTAGGTATCAGTACGACAGATCGATGAATTGATGAATTATATTCTCCAATTTGCGTATATATAAATTAGGTTTGTTAATTTCGTAAATTTGATTTTAACACAGATACAGACGGATTACAAGACAAGCCACAGAGCAAATATTTTCAGTGCTAAATTTCTACCTGGCACTGGAGACCATCGAATTGTGTCATGCAGTGGAGATGGAATAATTCTCTATACAGGTAATTAATTGCTGATTACCCGAGTATGAAAATTCCTGCTATTACGATTATTGTCAGTAATCATTCTATTATTATCACCAGTAAACATTCCTAGAATAATGAAAACTTTATTGACTCATTTCGGTTCATTCAATTATTTTAAGTTTTCATTTGGATTTTTTCTAGATCTTATGAGGAAATCAGAGACATTTAACAATCAATTCACCTGCCACAGTGGTACGACATACGAAATAGCAACAGTACCTGGTGAGCCTCACAGTTTTCTCAGTTGTGGGGAGGATTGCAGCGTCCGATACTTCGATCTTAGGATCAAAACCTCTTGTAATACTCAAAGATGCACAGACGTATGTAAATAACGTCACTAAAAATTCGAGATAATTTGATCTGTTGCTAAAGTGATTCATTCGATTAATATTTTGCCCCAGGATATTTTAATCTCATGTCAACGTGCAGTGACTGCCCTCTCAGTAAATCCAACGACACCCCATCATCTAGCGATTGGATGCTCTGATAGCACAGTCAGAATATATGATCGACGAATGTTAAATGTTCGGAATCTAGGTCTGTTGAATACCAAATGGGATATTATTTTTTGTTCTCTTTATTTATTGAGTATATACACATTTGAATAAATTGCATTAGTATCACGTTAAAGTGGTCAATAATCTCTCTAATTTTAAATTAATGTCTTTTTTTCGTTTCACAGCTTGGGCAGGTGGAACCAATACATCGGCTGTTCCACTGTCTCTATTTACAGTCCCTGAATTCGAGGGAAATTCCTACAGAATAACTTCCCTCAGCTACAGTCCAGATGGTAATGATGTTCTTGTCAGTTACAGCAGTGATCATCTCTATTTATTCAGTGCGAAGGTAAACATTATTATTAAACAAAGGCTAATCATTCAATATTGCAAGATAATAAAGTAACACATGCTTTCGGCGTGGATTTTGATAAAATACGTTGACAAAATACTTTTCAGCCCTTGCAGCATAAATTACTATTTTGATATATTGACTATTTCCATGATAATAGTAGATGTTTATATTTCCTGCGTTGTTTTTTGTTTTCTTGTCAATGAAATTAGGATTATGGATTGAAGCAATTGAAGAAGGAATCCTCAAGTAGATCTAAGGACAAAAAACACTCAGTGAGATCTCCCCAGCCAGTCAGAAGATTAAGATTAAGAGGCGATTGGTCAGATACTGGACCAGACGCACGTCCAGAGAGGGAAGGTGGACGCCGTAGTGGAACTGGTGAGTTCGTAAATCTCGATAAATATTTATAATTAGTAAAGATCCTCTTCAAAAGATTATCTGATTTTCTTTGTAAACGGTTTCCACGTATTTGTCGTAGTTATTCGTTTTTATCATATCGGAATAGTATTTATGATTCATTTACTTTTATTATAAATAATCTCATAACGAAAAATGACAAATGACACTTGACTTTTATTGGCACAAGTGAGTTTCAACTGATGTCATTACGATTTTTCTAGAAATAGCTCAGGCGAGACCTGTTCTTCATACTTCACTGATGCAGAGGATGACTGACGTGTTGAGTAGAATGTTAAATGATCCAGCAACGAGAGCTGCTCTCAGTGGAGGTGGCGAGGATAATCTGACGGGTGTCATTGATCAACAGGCTGAGGCACAGAATCAGTCCAATGAATCAAATCCGGAGATTCTGGAGGATATAAATGATCTACAGAATATGGACACTGAATCCAATGCTCATGCCATTGGTGAGTATAAAAATATTCACTCTAATACCTGCATGTACTCTAACATAATCCTTGACTTGCATTTTATCTTGCTAGCCTAAAATATTTAGACATTCGGGCTCTCAATTGTGTTGGAAAACCACTTGATTGGTTATAAAACAACTATAGTCCCTTCAAATAATATAACTATAATATAATATTTAATACTAATGATAATTTCATTACATGCAATTCTGTGTGGAAAATGCTATTTCCATGAAGACGAAACTCATGAAAGCGAAAACATGGATACAGCCGTCGAAAATACTTTGTTACCTACGGATGACCAATCTCTTGAGACTGAAGAAACCTCAGACATTGTTGATTCACCTGAGGAAAATACCTTCATCTCAGTTAGCGAAACAAATCCCCACATATCAATCAACGAAGAGTCTAGCCAATCCGAAAGTGGTAAAACGTCGATTCAATCTCTCACGACATTGAGTATATCCCAGGAGGAAGAGACACCTGAGTCAAGGGATACAGCTGTTAATATGGATAATTCTCGAGATGAGGGTATGATGGAAAATCTGCAGGACAGACTGACATCTATGAGAGATGGCTTCCTCGAAAAGTAAAGACCTTCTTCTTTCTACAATTTTTACAAATCACTTTGTCCTAAATTTGTTTTCTATTTTAGACATGGTAGTGAACCTGCCGTCAGCCTCACCTACTCGGATAAAAGTTCCACTGGTGCCACGATATCCATGGGAGTTGCTAATGAAGTCATTCGAGAGAGTTATCATGCAGGTAATCGAAATTAAATATTCACAGTAGTGCAGGTCTTCTAAGCATCTCTGGATATGCGATAGATAATTTTTATTTATTTTAGGACCTTCAGGGAGCCAAAGTGCCGAGGAAGTTGCTTCTGGAGCAGGCCCAAGCAGTAGAAGAAGTCCGTCCTCGTACAATGATGTCAGAGAACGTGAGGATCTCGTCCAAAAAGTTGGATAAAATCAGAACCCTCAAATCTATTTCACTTTTAATTTGTTCTCGTTCAAATTCAAATTTCAGATACAGACGAAGATGTATATAATGACAGCGACGATGAAGAGGAAGAATCTGGTCAGAGGTATATTAAAATTAGTGAACAGACATAAAGACTGCTGTATAGTGAAACGAGTGGGGAATTGCCCTTTCATTAGATATAGCATAGTTATTTTTGCTAATAAATTTCTTGTTACGCCATCGTTGAAACATTTTATAACATTTTTTCTTTTTATTTTTAAGTAAAAGTAATAATGCAAATTCCTTGTATTCCTCTTTTACAGAAGAGTTAATCCAATCGAAGAAGAAATGGACAGAGCAGTGGCAGACGCCAATGCCTCTCTAGGCCGCTCTGAATCCTTCGACGAGAGTAATTTCACAGAGTTGAGAGTTAAGCAGAGATACATGGGACATCGCAATGCAAGGTAAGATGGATTCATCAGTTTCGCTCTGCCTGAAGAAACTCTAAAAATGATCGTAGTGAAGTGTTAAAAAGAGTGGTAAAATAATAATGATTCTAGTGAAGAATATGAAGAAATTTTCCTTCGTAGAGAATTTCACAACTAAACTGCACAATTGCCCATAATTTTCCCACTTTTTATAACTTCACGACATTAATTTCGTAGCAAAACCGTAGGACCCTCGTCCTCCAGCAAAACCATCACCAAACCACTGTCTCGACCCCTTCGTTCTAGTTAGGAACTAGCAACGACTGCGACTAAGCTATCCCCACAACACGTATCTATTAAAAACCAATTGATTACCTTGAAAGCCTCAAAGCGGACTGGGCCAATTAGAATCAGGCCCATCCAATGTATTGATCGCTCTGTGCTTCCCTCGTTTCACTCTAGTTTCTTTAGGACCATGATCAAAGAAGCAAACTTTTGGGGTGACGAATTCGTCATGTCTGGGAGCGACTGCGGACATGTCTTCGTTTGGGAGAGGGATACCGCTAAATTGTGTATGCTCTTGGAAGCTGACCAGCACGTTGTTAATTGCCTTCAGCCACACCCCTATTTACCCATGCTGGCTACGTCTGGCATTGATTATGATGTCAAGCTTTGGGCACCCATTAATGAAGAGGCTAATTTCGATACAAACTTTGCTGAGGATGTGAGTTCAATATTATAATTACCAGATTAAATTATTGAAAAAAAAAAGATATTTTCAGTCAACAAAATTTCTTTAATATTCTAAAATTAATTTCTCAACAGTTAGATATAACATGGCTATTAGAACTATTAGGAGAGACCGTGAACATTGAATGGTTTACCACTATAAAATAACGATGTTATTTCGCATATTTTTAATATTATAAATCCCTGAAGACTGCGGTGAAATGAATATTCATTTAAAATTGTTCTATTCTTCATTTTTAATATTCTTTATGTTTGAATAAACATATAACGGATAAATTTATTATTTGGCAATTAGTCGATTGGTAGATTGTCAGGTGGATTTCTTAATAAAAATAAAAAAGACGTAAATAATGATGTACATCGTCGAACGGGTTAAAAATTCGAATTGGCTGCAATTAAAAAACAGTTTTTTTTTCGATACCATTAATTTGAAATTGAATTTGAGAATAATTAAATGATTAGAAACAAGGCCCTCATAAATTCAGGTAGTCATTCTAGTATCCGAGAAATATATTCGACAATCTTAATTGCTCCCACATCAATTTAAATGAAAACATGTCCATATTACCGCAGACACGACAATGTAATTTATCGCGGTCTTTTCTAGAGGTTGTACGAATGTCAAAATCCATTTGACAATTAATTCCAAGTTTTGATCTATTCATTGGGTACATTGAATTTATTTTTATGGTAGCTGCAAAAGCGTAACGCAGTGATGCTGGAGGAAACGAAAGATACGATAACGGTGCCAGCTGTATTCATGATAAGGATGCTGGCGTGTCTCAATCAAATACGAAGAGGTAGTAATAGTTTATGATTGTCCATTTGCAAATCTCCCTAGGCCATAGTATGATTTAATTTATATTCCAAAGCATTTCATAGACTTTTTGCTTGAATGGAAAATTTATTACCGATGATTTTTGTCGATTTGATAATTGCTTGAAAATTATGTAGAATTTTATGAAATGTAATATACGAAATTTTGAGTGAGAATTTGGATTTTTTGATTAACAAATATGCACAAAAAGGAGTAAAAGTAAAGGTTCATTTTATTTGGAAACGCTTATGAACGAAATTTATAGAAATGTATTTTTTTGAAGTGTAGCAATTTTTCATTAATCTTTTTTTCGAATATCTCAAAAACTACTTGTTTTTATTTGTCTCTTCTCATTCCGACGAGAAAAATCTTTTACAACTAAAACTGATTAAAATCATTAATTTGATATGGCTAGAATAGTTTTATTATAATTGTTTCTCATTTTAGGACGCGGAAGAAACCGCAGAAGAAGTGGAGATGAAGGAGATGATATGCGAGGTGGATAGATACCCTCATATAAAATTCTCCTTCAACTGTTGATTTAAAAAGAAAAAAATGTACGAATGAGTCTGCGAAGATATTAGTTTAATGTTGATAATTTAACTGCATTTTTTGTTCTCTTTTCACGTGAATGAAATAATTAAAAGTTTTTTGGAGTGTTATCCCTTTATATGTTGAATAATTTTTTTCATGGTTGGATGAATCATTGTTCTCGAGAAATCACTTCCACACTGCCTTCATTGATAAATCGCTCTCCATATCCACGGGTTCATTGAAGTTGTAGGAATTGTTGAGAAATTGTGCCTTAAATGGTGAATCATTGATTGTGGGTTCTGAATTCGAGTGGTGAAACGTAGAGTCTTTATTTCACAATTAGATTTAATTGATAAATAATCCTACAACAAAAGATTCTGCTAATGTGCATTATAATTTGCACGTTTCACCACTTTATCGCAGAATTCAAAATAGACAATACAATACCTAGAATAAAAGTGCGTAATTATCAAAATAGGATTTGGATAGATAAGCATACTATGATTTCATCGAGTGCAATTAAAAATATTTATAGGTTCGCTATAGAGAAGAGTTACTTTGGTACATGCGACGATGAATTCAGTGAGATTATATTATTCTGTTATTTGTAATTGTATAAAGAATCATTAATAAATGAACATGCAATATGAGATACATCCTTCGCTTGCTAATTTTCAAAAATGTCTCAGTCCATTATTTTATAATTAAAATATTCTGCTCGCCATCTAACTCCAAAGCGAACAATTTTTATCTCGTCTGAACGATTCTGTCTCTGAAAAATATAATATTAAATAGCATGAGTTTCCTTCTATCGGAGATTAATGAATTAATAATTTTTTACGTACAGAAACACCTCCCGAACCAACAACGACGAGAGCAGCATCGATCTGCCTGCTCACACTGAAACCACGTGAATTATAAACAAGTTTATAAAAAATTTTTAATTGATTATTCACGAGAAAGATAAGACACCAACTGTTGATCCAATGTTTCCTCCATTTGGCACGCATTGTCCAGTAACAGCAGCTGCTACCATTGCAATTACCACGAAAACTGCGAAGAATTTCATAATCGAAAGAGAATTCACTGTACGATTTATGACAATCAACTGAAATCAATACGAGAAATTGGAACAATTGCCTTTATATGAGAACACTTTCTTATACATCGTGCCACATTTACTTCAATAAAAAAAACATTTGTCCAGGTTGGATCGATGAGATATGAGGATTTTCAACGTAGATGAGACAGCCAACAATAATATTTCTTGGATAACACCTGCAATTGATACAGCTTGGAGAGAACATTCGATTTTATTAGCTTTTTTCCATTTATCCTTAATTCATGTTGAATTTTATTCAATATTATATCCGAAGATATAAACTCATTGATTAATTCCGTAGATATAATAATGTGGAAAGCTGCTTCATCCATCCGGAGAAATATAAAAATAATGAACTATAAATCAACGTAATTCATCGCATGTTGGTTTTATTTAAACGTTTATTTCGTAATGAGAAAAATTTGGAAATAAATAATAATTATTTTATACAACAATCACACGTAGAGAAGCGATGAAATAGAGTAGTAGAAATAACTATTAATTAATTATCATTAATCATTTTTTTTTTCAAGTTTTCCTTCATATTTTTCATATTTATATTATAGTAATATATCTGCAATATAATAAATCATATCTCCATTCTTAGTAATGTTCTTTAAATTTTTTGCTTTTTGAATCATTTATAATATTTATATGTATAATACGATGGCAAAAGTGTTTACTCTAATTTATTCTTTAATTTTTTTTTTCTTATTTTTTTTGTATTTTTTTTTTCATTAGATTGAGGTTTACTCGTGACAACTATGAAGAATGTACGAACGTGTAGAAATATTCATCAATGGTAAATAACGAAGGTAAATTCGATAAAAATGTTTTTCAATCAATGATTTCATCCTAATATTTTTCCCTTGACATGGATTTGTTTATATTTATATTTCATTTATATTCTCATATTTTGCAAGAGAGATTCAACGCCAGTGTTAGCCCATTCTCATTGTTATCAATTCATTCGATCGAATATTTATATATTATGCATGTAACATTAACTATGCAAAGAGAGACACGACAGAGAGCGCGAATTATTAAATGATTTTTCATTAATTTATCTGAATTCTTTCCCTCGATTTAATTAAACTATAACTCAACATTTTTCCCACTAGGACATTATTTCCTCAAGACTCGACATTCGCAGAAACAACCATTGAGGTATGTAGTAACGAAGGAATCAAAGAAAATTTATAAACAATTTGTCTTACAATGCTGAGTGAAAAAAAAAACAACAAATTCTATGGACATGTTCTACAGAATTTTCAAGAGTATCCTATAGAAAATCATAACATGTATATAAAGTTTCATGATGAGTGATCAGTAAAGCATTATTTATATTTCCATTGATCCTTGTTCAATACATTACACACGAATGCGATTAATCAATTAATCATTAACATGACTATCAGAAGGTGAATATAAGTATGGAAGAATGTTCTGTACATTAAATTCATCTTGTTTAATTTAATTTAATTTAATAGTAATTTATGAAAAATTGTCTCGCCTTGCTTCGCCATGCAACATTAATCATCTCACAAGTTCTATTATCGATTGTTTAATTAATTATCAAGAGGTGCTCTCTATCAGTGATTGCTTATTTTTCATCTGTTTTTCACATTAACATCACTTAATTATCAATTTTTCATTGAATTATGTATTATTAATGAAAAATGAATAAATTGGGGTGATAAGGGGGAGATGGCGATGCAGAGGCGGACAGATCTAGCAAGCCTGAACCTCTCTGGAAGGAACATCAGTGATGTGACTCAGTGGGACGATAAAAGTGGGCCCGGAATATTTTATCCTAATCTCTTTTTTTATCTCCATAAGTCTCTTGCATTAATTAAAAACAGATTTATCAATGACTCCAACTGACAAAATTTACTAAATTTTTATTGATTGTATCGTCTTAATTTAGGTTTAGATGTAAAATAATTAGAGAAATACGTGCGCAGGCTGGTAATTTATTCTTTTTTCTTTTTTATTCATTAATTTATCTACTATGTCGTGAGGAATTTTCAGTGATTTATTTCGTTCCATTCGTTTTTATTCTCGGTTTTGAAGTTGTGTGGAGCTTTTTTCAGATGCCATCGGAGTGACGCGCGAATGATTTGTGTCGATATGTTCGACTGAGCTATGTTTATTTTTTTATTGAATAAATTCGATTGGTTAGCGAAGTTGTAAGAGAAGATGAGTGGAGAGGTGTTTTTTTTTTGCTATTTTGAAAATATCACAAGAGAGAAGGGGTTTAGACGAATATGTCAAAGATATTTTTCGAAGGCAATGTCTTGTGACATTTTTCGATAAATCCAGTAGTTTTCGAGATATTCGCAAAATAAGAAATCCAAAATTATTTCAATTCATCTTTCTTCCTCCATCAACAACATTATGATCTAATAACTCTTCCATTCTTCATTGAACTAGTTCAGAGTTTTTCCAACTATTTTCTCAAAATTCTTTGAAATTCTTCCAATTGTTTGTCCATTCATATTAATCACCTGCAGTCTTGAGTAACACCAAGTTGTTGAAGTAACCGACAGATTAAATGATTTGGAAACCTCCTCCCCCCAACTCCAAATGACCCTAAAACTTTAATTATCATAAGACTTCATTACATGGCACATTGGTCGATATTAAGGCTCGATAGGGCCCCAATTCCCAATAACCCTCAAAAGACCATTCTACCTCAACTCCCCTCTAGATAAATTTGTTACTCTAACTAATAATAAAATCGTAAGCAGACTTCGTTTAGTATTTAATGATTCATCCGACTTTTCGTTGAAAAGATAAAACAATCAATTAGAAACTCCCATTAATCAGCCAGTTATAATCATTCAAGTGAGATTCGAGTTATTATCAAGTAAATTAATTATTCCAGAATTTCTCTTTGTGATTAAATCGTCAGATCGACACGTAGAAAGTAGAAGAAAAGTGACCATTAACCGCCCACTAATTTTCTCAATTGGATATTTAATTCATTAAAATTCTCATTCCTCTTACGATTTCCATTGAGCTCAAAGAGGAACAAATAAATTATTAATAATTCACCCCGTCGCAAAAATCCCCACCTCTAGGTAATCAGAAATTTCTTTTAATTAAGTACCTCACGGAAAATGTCCTATTATCTTTTCATTTTCTCATGCCTTTCATTCTGCATTCTCATCCCTTCATTTTACCAATTTTCATCTTGGTACTCTCTCACTCACTCTCACTTTCTCTCTCTCTCTCTCTCTCTCTCTTCTCTATGCATATTTTCTGCTATTCCTTAAAAACTTGGTTGTGGAATACAATGGAGCGAGCCAGGTAATGCTGATTTATTTGTTATTGTAGGAGAATGGCGAGGGACCTGTCACTGCACTTCGGTGGAAATGTACGTTTTGCCATTTGTTGTCCTTCTTGTGCCACACCCGGCTCTCCTCACTCTGCTGGGTATGAGCTACACCTTGTCTGAAAATCGGGTTCATCATGAATAAACAGAACTTATAAATGAAGCTGTGAAAATGAAGAAAATCGGCAAGATCGGTATACGTCCGGAAAAATTCACATTGTGTTCATCATTACATATCATTTTTTCCAGTCAAAATTACCGGTAAATTTATCCCATCATAATCATAATATAATTTTACAAATGAATTCCCAAGGAAAAGATCTATAAGTCTACTCAATACTAATATATACTATCTCCTGATTTTTAATTTTATGTGTTGAAAGGATCAATACATAAAATTCATTCACCGCAATCAGATTCTGGCACCATATGAGACAATATGAGGAATTCTATAAGTTAGAGCAAACACAAAATCAATTGCAACAATTTTCATCGGCATTGATTACCAGCATTTTAAATAAAGATAAAGTGTGATCAATAAAATGTCGTCCGAGTTTCACTTAATTTCGTTCTCTTGTGATTATTTCTGTGGGAAAGATTCGATTTTAGATATTTGTTTTATATACTTACTTATCAACATATTGGGTAAGCCTGACGTACGCAATACAGGCAGCATCATCTCCCAGTAAATGAACATGAGGATTGAGGATCGTCGTGTTGACAGCCTTGCAACTTGAGTTTTTCCCCAGGACTGCTTGGGATTGAAATTTAACGTTACAACGAGCATGGTGATTTTATTACATGTTTCAACATTAAAATCCCCAAAATCCCACTTAATACATACTCTGCTGACAAGCTCAACTCAAAAATACACAGAATTCCATATTTTATTTGATAAAAAGCCTCGGAAAAGAGAGTTGAAAATCATACGACAACTCATTACGAGGGGCAAAAAGTGATATTTGAAACCTTATTCGTCTCAGTGCAGCTTTGAGTTTAATATTTATTTGCGAAATAGTGATGCAAACTAGGCATAATTACCATTATCAAAGTAAAATTTGTGAAAGTCCATTCCCTCGACTAAATTACCTAGAGCCTCCGGCTCAAATGCAGTTAGATGAGGATCGCAGATTTTTCTAAAAACAAATAAAGTTCACACTTATTATAATTTATCAAGTTTATTATATTATATCACACCTCAATATTGCTGAACTCAATATCATGAGTTATAATACATGTAAAGATGTTTAAGAAATTTATTTAATAATTTCTGCATGTTTAACAATTCAGCATATTTAACGGTTTGCTTCTCACATGCTAATGAATAAATAATAATAATTATAAATAATAGTAGTAAATAATATTAGAAAATAATAATTAATAATGATATTGTACAAAATATTCAAACATATCAGAAGATGTTTCATTTTAGTTTATAATAATTTCGTCGTGATTATGATTATTTAATTGAATAATTTTTATTATTTTATTTTATTGTTGCTAAAGCTGTATGTAAATATTAAATGATTGAAATATATGCGGAATGATGAGAAAAAAACTGATGACAACGTAATTTGTCTAGAACGGATGATTGTATAAATTATAAATAATTGTGATAAATAGTAAGAAAGAATAATTATTAATAATGACATTGTACAAGATATTCAAAAATAGTGGAAGATGTTTCATTTTGGTATGTTATGATACGTGATCTATTGCGCACTCCGCGCGTCGAATTTAAATTTCCCGGTATGAATTGACCAATGGGGAATCAGTTTTACGAGCTTCGAGATATTTTGAGAATCGATCATTGATTTATCGAGCGATAATTGAATTGAAGAGTTATCTTATTTTTCCGCCATTTTAACTCTTAAAAAGATTCATAAAATGGCGGAAAACATGGGGTAACCCCACATTTTCTGAGATCATGTTGTAAAACTCCGATTAACTCGAGATTTCAGATGTGGTACAAGGACCTATCAATAAAAAGAGGAGTAAAAATCAAGTCACTCTTCAATTATTCTGTTATCCTGTAATAAAAATTTCATTTGATTGAAATTTTAATGAAATGTCCTCTAAATTGTTACCCATTTGTTTTTAACTTTTGACAGAATCACAGAAGAAGTGAGCAGGTGTCCGATTTTTGTCGTTTATTTAGATTCTTAGTACTTCGGCCGGTTTTTTTTAAACAAATCGATCATTGAACCGAATCGAAATTGAAACAAATGAAAACCTTACCCTTTTGATATAGGGGGACATAATGAAGATCCTCAAATAGTATTTGAACCTCTAACCAATTATAACGAACATGGAAAGTAGATGAAATGAGGTATTGAATTAGATTTGTATAAATTTTTATGTGAGTCATATTTTCATATTTTTATCTAAATAATTTTCCCTAGTGTCGGAGGAAAATATTCAAAAAAAATGACGCATCTTTTCCGTATTTCAAGAACGAAAAGTCGTTAAGAAAAATTTTACAGAACTTCCCGTAAAATAAGAAAATCTTCCCAGGACGTCCTTTAATTTTTGTTTGAATTTTCATTGAATAATCACGAAATGAAAATACGGCCACGCAAATTTTCTTAATCACTTCGATAATCGATAATCCGATAAATCGAATTAGAGTTCCATAATTTTTATTGAATATTTCTCTCCGTGCGATAGTAATGCAGTAAAAAATCCTTACGTGTATCCTTCAAAATCACCAGCATTGATACTCTCGATGAGCTGTTCAGTCATCTTGATAATCTCCTGTCGGCGTGCTGTAATCGTCAACAATTTATCATCAGTCAAACAAATACGAGATTCCGAGGCTTCAGGCTCTTTCCGGTACATCGCACAGCACAACAGCCACATGCACGATTTTTCTTTACACATCTAACGTTGTCCTATCCACGCCAATACGAGTTTTCGTTTAAAATTTCAATAATTTTATCTTCTAGGAAATTTTTCATAGGCTCGTACACTCACTTCAGCCAATGGGTTGTCATCTCTAACTTATTCTTGTCCATTCAATATCTCCTAATTATTAAATTAATGATCAATCCATCACTTCTCTATCTATTCTAAAATTTGTGCCACAATTTTATTTTATTTATTTTTATTTCAATCAAATGCCTTTCTATTGTTTTTATCCAGTGAAATTTAAGACTAAATAAATGGCAAAAATTGTTTAGAAAAACGAGGGTATCCGAATCCGCCCGTCGATTCCTCTTCGAGGCTGAAGTTTAAAAAACATTGCGGTTTCACACGTGCACTATCTGCAGGGTTTTTATCACCAGTTCATAACCGATCCATTTTATTTAATTATTCTTTTACATATTTTTTAATGCTTCACACTGGCTCAAGGTTGTCACTGACGCATTAAAAATAAACGCACTCTTCTCTTTCCAATTTATCGAATAATTCAGTGAACATTTTTTCACATTGTTTTGCTATATATCCTAGTGTTTTGTATTTTATTTTTGCATCTTTTTTGTTTTTAATAAGAAAATGCAGGAGAGATCGACGAGCGGATGATTTTTTTTTTCTTTTCTACGTTATGCGCGTTACCTGAGCACTGCGAGTTGGTTGATAGCTGGCTGCAGGTCTTGACGGGACACATGATTCTTATTTCTACAAGCATATACCTTCCTCATTAAAACACCATTTTTTTTATTACGAGAAATTATCATTCTTCAGATTTGTGTTTTATCTTTAATATTGAGCTGCGCGGTGGAGCGATTCATAAGCGTTCTTTTTATAGGAAACGCGACGATCGGTTTTCACGGTGATAAATCGTCAATTATCATTTTTTTTTAATTCTCTCCCGATAACAACATCTGGACTGATAACAACCGATGAATAAAAACCAGTGACAGTTTTATCTTGGTTATTTTGGAACTTGAAAATCATTTTTCTGTTAAATTGGAATTATTATTTAGATATTCTCTGCCTTCTGTGGGCATGTATCGAGAGCTGAACTACGATTGGAATAGATTTTCTTTCTTTCATCGTTCAACAGCTGATTCGTCTTTGAGACGAAAACCGACCTTTGCGTGACCCAATTCTTAAATAATTTCCAACAGCATAATAACTCTTACGCGATTGTCTCCGTCTCCTCGAATCGATCCAACTCTGAAATTCATTGACATAAAATCCGAGAACGCGCGAAAAGAAACGGAAAAACGCGAAAAGTCGTCATCCCAATATGAAAAATTTCTACCATTTTTCTTACATTAATTTATTATTCCTGCCTTTACACACCTCCAAAAAACGGTTAATAACTGCCACTCGTTCGTTCACTCCTCTATTAATCATAAACTTCCATTATATTTCAGTATACGATTGATAAACTCCTTGTTTCCTTGACAATTACTGCATATTAATAGTCTCTTAATGACTAATAATGAATAAACTTAACACTCATTATCATTCATTGCCATCAGCGTGATAATGAGTATTCTAATGATCAGAGAATAGTAATCACCGGTAATAATCGGTAATCACGATTGATCAGTAATGACCGATTGTGATTGATAAATACAAAACAATAATCGACGAATGGTGTGATAATGATGTTGATGATGTTGATGATGTTGATGATGTTGATGATATTGATGATGATGTTGAGACTCGATGCAAGTTCGAGTGTGCGCGTAAAATAATGTTTACGACAAAGTACAGTGTCGAAATGACGAACACGATTGATTGTCCATCGAGGGAAATTGATTACCCTCCTTACCGTACTCCTCACCATTGATCTGATTGTAGCCGATGCTTCCACGTCGGTCACGCATCTCCGAGCCATCTTCATGCATTTTATGTCATTAGTGCATCAATCATTATCATTATTCGTTTTCGTTCAATTATTTAATGTTATCCTCAATTGTTGATAATGCAAGAGTTAAGAAGCAGAAGAGAAGGGGAAGACAGGAAGACGTACAACGTGGACATGCGTGTTGGGCAACATACACAGAGACACAATAAAATAAATAACGTCAATCAGACGAGTAACAATTATCGTGAGTGATGATTACATTTGTTTAGAGATAACATGAAAATTAAACTGTTAAGACTTTTCTCTTTGTCTGCTTGAGTTTCATTATAATTATTCATTGTTATTTAATGGGGGGGGGGGGGGGTAATATGGACACGTTTTTATTTGACGAGAACGACCGCGCGCTACAGAGCGCTGTCATTATAAAAATCGTGATTAAAAATTGTTAATTTAAATGAGTTCCAAATTCAAATTAGCCGCTTCAAACGACTGAACCAATGAGGAATAAGCGTGACAGAGTTTCGAGATACCGATAGTCTCGATGTTTATCCTTTTTAGAATAGGAAAATAGAAAATGGTATATCATTGATAATTAATTATTCATTCAATAAACTCAACTATTGTTTAACCCGCGTGCTTTTGATTATTAATTGTACGAACCTGTGCTCCGGAAAAAATGCAATATATCAGATATATACTGGATATATATGGTAATGCATATGTATTACATGCATAGCATTTTTTATTATATTTTTATTTTATTTTTTTTTATTTATAATTATTAGCGCATACATTTATTCTTTGATGGTTCCCGAATCACAGAATTACTATTTAAGGATGTTCTCTTTCCAGTGAAATTTTCCAGAGAAATTACGTAACTTTTTATTTCAATGCTTTATTCCAATGTTGAATTAATTGTTTTCAAAAAATTATTTTTCAAATTTTTTAAGCCCATCCGATGATGTACATCATTATTATCGCCGTCTTTTCAAAACTACGGGATCTACTGCGCACTTCGTGCGCCGAATTTGAATTTGGCGGTTCGACTCGACCAATGAGGAATTAGTCCTCCGCGTTTCGAGATATTTCGATTCGGGCAAACTTCATTTTTGTGTTTCGACTTTTATAGGAAGGATTCCTTTTTTTTTAGTTTCCGAGAATTCCACTTGACAGTTATCCATTTACTAATTATTAAGTATCTAATTTAGGTGTCCGTTTTACCCCATCATCCCCTCCGACCCCTGACGGATCTTGGATCGGTATTTGATTGACATATAACCGAGCAATCAATTTGTGCACTTAGATGATGGCGAATCAATTGCTGATTGACTATCAACCAGTAATCAACCAGCGATCAACCCTCAATCGATTGATTGATATGACGACATGAACGAGAGTTCAAAATAGCATGAAATCTTGATCAATTGAGGGAAGAAGTTGAAGCTCCAATCAAATTAACCGACGAGGTAATAATCAATTGAATTTCTTCACTGGTGAATCTAGGAATTCATCATCCAGATATTGACCCAGCAGTTAGACAAAGATAAAGAGAAAAGTTTTAATCCATCAACACTTAATCTACCGACCAGTTGCTGATGAACTCTCTCGTCTTGACACACTGTTGACACTGGCACAGGCTCTGGTGGTAGCTGGTGATGCTGATGGTACACCCTGACTATTTTGGCTGGCGACACTTCCACTACTTCCACTGCTGCTGTTGCTTCCACGGCTTCCACTCCCATTGCCAGCTAATTCATGCAATCAACCATACAGGATAATTTTCCAAACAGCGAGCAACTTCTCCCGAGGGCCCCATATTATTATTTTAAAACGTTTGATGACTTTCTGGACTCTTACCACGTCGTCTGGCGTGTCGTCACTCAAGGATACTATTACGATATTCAACAGGACAATTATAAGCCGAGTAATCTACCCATTTATTAGTCAATAATTATTTGAGTGCAACTAATCATTTTTAATGGTTTTATAATACTAAGAAGTGGGACAAATCGGTGAAACATCATGTGGCTATTTTTACCTTCCAGTTTTCTTTTCAAATTTATTTATTATATTTTTTAAACTTAAGGGCTGGATGGAGTATCTCGGAAAGATAATTTACTCCAAAATTGGGATTCCTAATTACTCCGCCAATTAATTGTTTTTTCCGATAATTGTTAGCTAGCGTTCTAGTCGTTGAGAACCGCTAGAACACTAGCTAACAATTATTGAAAAAAACGATTAATTGCCAGAGTAATTAGGAATCCCAATTTTGGAGTAAATTATCTTTTCCAGATAATCCAACCGGTCCTTAAATTAAAATTCATTGAAATTCATTAGTTTTTCGATTTTATGGATTTCATTGGGCTGTCCTTCGAGTTTTCTCCAGTTTCTCCCAGTAAAAATGGAATAGTTATTGATCGATAGTCTTTGATGATTAATTTTTCGTGATGTGCACTACAGTGAATGCTAGATGAGGTGGAGGGGTGGGTTAATGATAAGGAGAACTGGGAACTTGAGGGGACGAGATGAAGTAGTGAATCTTCTGGGCTGATCAAAACTCGATTTTACTACTTCACCGGTTATTTCCGACTTTGAAATTGAGGGCATACCGTTAATTTCAAATTAGGATGATTACAATGATTCCTGGGATATTGGGAATAGCTAAGGAAATTTATCCAGAGGAAAATTCATTCCAAACACATCAATGCATCAATTTCTCAGTCCCTACATCTTCATAGAAAACGAGGAAAAATCTTTGGAAATATAAAAAAAGGGAAAAAGGGAAAAGGGAAAAGTCTATTTTACCTTCCCCTCCCCTATGCGAAAAACTTCAAAGTTTGCAAGTATCCACTAAATAAAAATATTATTTCGTGACTATAAATTGTTGAATTGTTCATTATCTATTATAATAAATAATCCCCAATATACCCAATACACGAACCCAACAATATATTGCATTTCTTACCGGAGTATGTGTGCATATAATTAATAGATATTTCGATTATATACCGTTTTCCGTGTGGAATTTTCCAATTATTTATTAGACGAAAAGGAAAGGGGATTATAGCGATTTTTGCGGAAGTTATACAGAAGTAAAAATTTTTCAGTCTTCACGGTGTTGATGTTTTCTTTCATGGAGTTAATTGAAGGGTTTCGGAGCAATGAGGGATTTACTGGGTTTCCTCTGGTTTTGGTGGATAGAAAATATTTGAAAGCGTGTGATGACGTATGGCATATCGAGTGAACAATTGTTTTGATTAATTATCATGCAGCTGAGGGATAATAAGAGTGGGAAGACTAGGGATGGCATGGCTTGGCAAATGATTTTTTTCATTAATTATCCTACCTTAGGTACAGCCCACACTCGAGTACATCTTCTCATGATTAGTCAATAATCTATGAACTCTAATGATCTCTTACGGCTTTTGGTTTTATTTAAACTCTAGCGGTAGTCCTACGTGTCTAGTGATTACTTAGTGATAAACAATTATACTCCTGGCTTATTTGAGCATTAGAATCTCCAATATTTATGAAGTTTTTTTAGTCGAGAGAAATATAAATTGGTCGATTGATCAATCAATGATTCAATTACTTCATTCTCGTTTTTCTTATTTTACTTTTTTCTTGGTCGCTTCTTCGTCTTATAATTTCTTGGATTGATTAAAAAACGAACGCGGAGAAACAAATTGAGGAAAATTAAGTGACAGTTCCTTAAACGTGAAGCGAAGTCCTTTCGCAGAATCCTACTATAACATAATTTTTTAAACGTCAAGCAAAAATTACGCCCAACTGAAGCAAAAATTCTGGTTAATTTTGCAATTATTTTATGAAACGAGCCTTCACCCCATATTTATACAACTGTCACATAATTTTTAAGAAAAATTTCTCTTCTTCATGGTTTCAACCGAGGGACTACTCATCAGGAATTTTATCCACCCCGAATTCATGAAGTCATTTCGAAGTCATATTGAAGTCATTTGAAGTCACGCCGAAGTTTTAAAGTCGTGTCGAACGAGTTTGAAATCAATTTTATGATTTTATAATTATTTTAAGACTCACGGAGTTTCATCAGCGTGCAATAATTTTCCCGCATTTTTTCTAGAGTTTTATGAATTTTTGAAATTTTAGAAAAACAACGAAAATGATAGCACGATCATGACTATAATACCTTTGGAAGTTATATAACTAATACCTTTGGAAGTTATATAACTAATAACTTTGGAAGTTATTAAACAACGATAAACGGTATATTTTTTTGTATTAATCCATTCAATAATTGTTCAGAAGTCTAAAGAAAACTGAATTTGTTGTCTAAAAGGGGATAGAACATCCTTAAGGCAATCCTAACTTCCACAGGAAGTGGAAGGAGTAGAAGGAGATGGCACATAGCCTTGAATTTCTTCGAGAATATTCTTTGAATCATCTCGAAATTTGTCCCGAAAGCCCTGACTCGACTGTCCACACCGATATGTGAGACAAAAAAAATAAAAATTGTGATTTGTGTAGAGGGGATGTCCCTTATGGGACACTTTCCAACAGGAAACGACGAGTATTAACAATTGTTGAAGAATCCAAACAATTCACTGATCATTTCGTGCGTATTTTTTAGAATAAAAAAGTAAATTTCAGTTACAAAATCTAAAAAAAAAAATACTTCAAGTCATTAACTTCATAATTTTCCGGAGTCATGGTCTATTGGGGAGTGAGTAGTCCCTCGGTTTTGAGTAAAACTCAGTGTTGAAAAATACCGAGTGCAAATGAACCAAAAAATGAAGAATAAAAATAAAAAATCGTTAATCAGGACATCGATTTAAAGCACACAGGCACACAGGCTTAATGTTTTTTAATAGACTTTTGGGATGATTTTAGCGCAGTTCAGCGGCGCTTTGATTTGTCCCATATTAACTGCTGGGAGTGATAAAAAATCGGGAACACTGTTTTAGTCCAATTGCGTTCGTTATAAAAATCATCTTGACTACCTTGCGCACCCTGAAGAAGAACAGCGGCAAGACCTAACGGATTAGCCTGTGCCTGTTTGTTCCCCGTTGCTGCACCCATTACCTTGGAGATAATCGCACCCGCCGCGGGACTGGAAGGTGGTGTACCCTGGGACGCATAGCCTAGGATTTTTTCGCCCATTCCGAATTCGAAAAAATTTTTAAATCATAAATAAAACTGTCAAATAAATTTAAACGTTCAAAAAATATCAATACTTCAGGGTTCATTTTTTTAGTTACAGAAGAAAAATATTGTGGTACTCAGTAAATTCAGAGATGATTGCAGTTTTTTTTTTTGTATAATTTTGTATTTTTATAGGATTAATTAAAATTTGTTATCTTCCTTTTGTTGCAGACTGGACCGTCGATCACGTTTAAAAAATTATGCAATTAAAGTTGAAGTATGAATTACTCTCATTACTCTTAATTACCAAGTCATAACCATAATTGATATTTAAGTATTCTTGAGTTGATTTTTATTTCTGCTTTTTAATTTCTTAAAGATGGTTTCGACGTCCAGAATTGAATTGAAAGTTATTTCAACGAAATAATATCCTCTCTGAAGTATTTGAGTCAACAAAATGAGAAGGGAATCAATTAATTAAGATGATAACATTCATTTAAATGCCGATGCAGACAAATTTCACGTATCCGAAATTTTCTTCATCCATGATACGAATCTACATAGAACTAAAACATTTCATCACTGAAATAGATTCATCGACTATGGCCTAGCTAGGATCACATAAACTAATACTTGAAAGGAATTTCACGCATTCGTTTGCATAGAAAATTCCAAAACGTCAACCCGAGAAAAAAAAACCCAAGAATTTTATCATTTAAAAACCAAAAAAACGGAGTCCAAATACAAAACAGTAAACGCGCCCTCGAATAAGTGTATAAACAACTCAGTAAACAAAAAAAAATGAAAAATTTATTAATTTAAATTCCAATGAACAATTAATTCAAACGATAAATAAAAATTCCGCCCGAACAAATAAATCAATGAACAATAATTCCGCGATTCCGCGGTTTAGTTTGTAATAATTTCAATTATTACTTAAACATTATAAATGATTGGTATTTGGTCATTTAGATAAAAAATAGCGGCATAATAATTCAGTAAACAAAAATAAATGAAAAATTCATTAATTTAAATTCCAATGAACAATTAATTCAAATGATAATTAACAATTCCGTCCGAACAAATGAATCAATGAACAATAATTCCGCGATTCCGCGGTTTAGTTTGTAATAATTTCAATTATTACTTGAACATTACAAATGATTGATAAGGACCTCTGATTTTCTGTCAATAGCGAAATGAATGTAACTTAGTACTGTCATACTGTTTTGACGTGCACGGCGTACTAGTTGGGGCAGCCATGTCCCGAAATTGCCACAAAATCAAAAAGAATTCGAATTGAATTAAAGAAAAAAGAATTTAAATAAAAAATAGCGGCATAATAACTCAGTAAACAAAAAAAATGAAAAATTCATTAATTTAAATTCCAATGAACAATTAATTCAAACGATAATTAACAATTCCGTCCGAACAAATAAATCAATGAACAATAATTCCGCGATTCCGCGGTTTAGTTTGTAATAATTACAATTATTACTTGAACATTATAAATGATTGGTAAGGACCTCAGATTTTCTGTCAATAGCGAAATGAATGTAACTTACTATTGTCATACTGTTTTGACGTGCCCGGTGTATTAGTTGGGGCAGCCATGTCCCGAAATTGCCACAAAATCAAAAAGAATTCGAATTGAATTGAAGAAGAAAAAAAAAATTACATAAAAAATAGCGTCATAATAACGGGCGGGCGAACATCTGACGAAAAGACAAAGTAAGCCGTGACGCTAGCCACCGGAATACTAAAGTAACCAGGTGGATATTTCTGACGATTAACACTGGTGAATTCTGAAACGTTACCTAAAAGCATCGAGGGGAGTCGAGTTGTTTAACACTTTAACCCATCCCACCGCATCTCGTCACTCTATTCATTCTCTCTTTTCGTCGTTCTAACGCACGCACGTTACGTGCAAAACACGAGTGAAATTTATTTCTGCATTGGCACTGGGATATATTTAGAACTGGCCACTTCCATTTGGCACTGGATTTTTGCCATTGGAGGCACACGGAACACGGTATGCACTCTTTATCAATCGAAATTTATCATTCAGGGGGTTGAATCGTTCGGGGGTGACACACCATCGCTGCATTCATGAGATTCATGACATGTCTTTAGAGATTGAGTACCAGAAGAGATTATTGACAAGTGGTGGACATTATTCTGGATATATCTCTGGAATTATCACGGGATCTCGTAGAAAAAGAATTATGGAAAGATGACTGGAATTTTTTTCGTTGTCCGGAGGAATAAATGATTTAAAGGTATTTTAAAGAATTAGTGTACCAGGATTCAAGTGAAAACAAATAACAGTTTTGGACGGAGTAGTTTCGTTGTAATTATCATTGTCTCGACAATGAATTTTTTTTTTGTTTCGACTCGTGGGATTTTACGCACGCACGTCTCTGCAATTATTTTTAACACACGGTGTTGTAAGAGTGAAGTGACACTGTGTTAAGTGACATTTTACGCATGCTCGTTGTACGCAAAATCTCACTTTCCACACACTGTGATGAAAAATATGGTTTACGCTCCACAGCCAAGAGTGTTTTAAATTCGTGGGATTATATCACTCGTCTTCAACTCGTGCTGTAAAGTTTAATATAAATCTCTCACGAACTCAAAAACATTTTGCCGCAATGATGGATCGCGAGTATAACCCTATTTTTCATCATAATGCACGGAAAGTGCTCTGCGTGCGCAAAATGCCACTTTACACACGCTGTGTCGAAAAAATGTGATTCACATAATTTTTAGCTTTACCATTTCACTATAAAATCTCTGTAGGTACCTCTGGTAGGGTATCAGACATTTTCCTTTGTAAGGAAAAAAATTCTCACACTTTGTTAGAACGATGAATTCCGTCGCTTTTAATGACACACAGAGATTATACGAATTATATATCATCATTAGAACGATTAGGAGGCGGTAGACAATCGTTTCGTTTACCATTACCTTTTTATCTACTATTTTAATTTTGCAGAAGCGTAATTAATTCAAAGCAGGCTCAACGCTAAACCCTGGGACCACTCCAATTACTCGGAATGAAGGATTAATTCAATTTATTCACTATTTTTTCTCTGAAAACCCGCTGAATATCCCGGGGTTTACGCGCATTGCGACATTAAGTTAAAATAAATGGAAGAATGTATTCATGTGATTACAAAAAAAAATCCTATCAAAGCAAGAGTGAAAGAGATTGATTCTCCAAAATAAAAACAGAACGTTAAAGCGTGAGATTATTGCACGGGGCGTTGAAACAATCATGAAATTCCATTTGTATTTTTCCAAGACATTCCAGTCAGACTTTTTGCCCTTTTAGTGAAAATAAATGATGAGAAATTCATGGTTTGTGAATCTCCAATGCAAATTTGTCGATTATATCTCATTTCCAGGAGTTTCATCGCCCCTAGACGATAAGAGCGAAAATCGCTTGATAATCGCCGTTGGTGAAGATTTAAGAAATTGTGAGAAATAATTTTCAATAAATGTCAGCAAAATTAAACACACAAAGTCAAACACAGATATCGTGGGTGTAACAGCAAATTTTTTTTGTGAGTGTTGAGTGTTAATTCAGTTAATTCTGAGCTGAAGATTTAAAAATCTTGTGAGTGTGTGTGCGTGTGTCAGCTCTTCAATAATTGTTATTTATTATTGTTTTGGATTGTTGCTTGGGTTACCTTCGGGTTCTTTGGCTATGACCGTGCTGCTCCGGTCGACACCGCCCTTCTTATCCTCTGTACAAACACATATATACATCACGTATCCCATTGAACAAACGTTTGAGTCTAAAGTATTTAACTTTTAAAGTATTCGTAAATTTGTCATCTCCCAGGAAATACACTGTTCAAAATTGCCTGACATTTCATGCAGTCATCTGAATTTTCAATTAGAATTCTATTTCAATTGCAAATGGCCACTAATTTTCTCATTTACCTTGAAAATTCAAGAAAATTGGGTCTCTCATGTTCAATGCTAATTGAGTTTTCAATGAAAGCTTGAATTTTCTTCCTCATCGTGAAAATTTAACATCAAGTACCAGTGAATTTTCAATAGATTCACAATTCAAGAAAATTTTTATTTGAATCCTCAATTTTTTATGAGTTTTCAGTGACTCGAAAATTGGAAATTAACAGGCCATTCAAGGCATCAAATGATTCGTCAATGAAGAATTCTACTCAATTATGCCATTATTAATTCTAGGTTAATTCAGAAATTGTTAACTGAATAAATTCCATTTTACTGAAATTTCAAGTGCAATTATTTAACAGTGTATTAAACCTTCACGGATAGAAAATAGTCAACAAGATTGATCCTGATGTTTTGCAATCGTGTCAGCATTTAGTCATTTTTTTACCAGCAATTGGAGTAAATTTAAATTAAGCTAAGTACCAATTGGGGGAAAAATTACAATTTTTCCTCAGTATCATATAATATTCACTTAAATTAGTGGTAAAAATGCCTAAATTACCACAATTACAAAAGCTCAAGATAAATTTTATCAGATATTTTTCTCTGCGTTGAAAATTAATTTATCCAAGTGCAAATGATGGAATCGTGATCACTACAACTTGTTAACGAAAAACTCTTGACGATTCGTTTTCCCCTAGTCCGTGAAGTTTTTAAAACATCATCAAAGCCACTCTCTAATCGTGAGATCACTGCTTTAATACCTCAAGAAGAAATAGTCTAATCAAAATTCAATAAAAATGACGTGACAGTTCTCTAATATGCGAGTGAAAACAAAATTCAGTAAAAATTTCGGATGATTTACTGAATTTTTTCACGTACAGATTAACGAACTGTCGCGTAATTTTTACTGAATTTTTCTGTCCATGTAACTTCCCGTAAAAAGATGATTTGAAATTTTCTTTAAAGTCCCCGAGACATATTTCAAATTGTCTAAATGCAATTGCTCCCTGAATTTCATCCATTTCTTCGATGCGACATTTTTATTCGTACTCTAGTGTTTCCATAAATGTATAAATCCTCCGAATCCTCTTTGAAGCCTTATTTTTCGTACGATATCCTCAATTTATTTCTACAGCTATTCCAATCCTGCGGATCCGATCGTCGGAAGGGCGTTGAAGAAAAGCAGGGAACACGTCTATATCTTCCAATGATGATGGAATTGGGGTAACCATTTTTTTTATTATTATTTCCGCCACTCTCTGTTCAAGAGGATGAGGAAAACTGACAAACGATCGTGCAGAAGCGGGACGCATGCGCTAAGCCATAGAAATTACTTCCTCTTTCCTCAGTTAACGACCTCAACGAATTTCCTAACAAATTAAATCGAAAAATCAAAATATTTCAAACTTACGCCTATCCTTTTTCGTTTATAGTTCATTTACATTCAAGGACCGGATCAATATATTGTTGCGCATTTTTCCAATATTTATGTATAGAGAAATACATCTGCACGGAGAGAAAAATACCGGAAAAATTACGGAACTTTCGCGTATTCGTGGGGTGACCTTGCTTTTCGGGAAAAAGTACTGGGGGTACCGTGAAATTGTCCTGAAAGTTTCGTAAAAATTCCTGATCGCTACGAAAATTTTAACGGAACTTACAGTATTTTTTCCCGAAAACCAAAGTCACCCCACGAATACGAGAAAATTCCGTAATTTTTCCGGTATTTTTCTTTCCGTGTGGAGGAATGAATCAGTAATAATACCACTAGTTCTTCAAAATCTATATTTTTCGATAGTTTCTTTGTCTAGGAATCATTGTATCAAATTTTGCAGGTTGAAAATCTGATAGACAAAATTTCATAGACTTGTGTCGGGGCAGGGAAACTTGAGGAAAATATCCGATTTATTTTACAGCACGAGTGGTATTTGGAGGATTATTTTTCTTAACCCGATTTTGGCTAATCCGCGTGCAGTATTCACGTGCGTATTATATAATTATTTTTTAAAAATTATTTTACTGCCTGATTTGGGGATGTTCTGCCCACTTTTACCCAAAATTATTGAGTTTTTAAGTTTTGCCACAAATTTTTGATCGGATTTACCCGAAAAAATATATCGTTTTTTTATTTTGTCGTTGTTTCATGACCCACAGAGTTTTATGAGTGACAAATAATTTTCCTGGGGTTTTTTTATCAATTTTTTATCAATTTATGAAATTTTGAACGGTTTGAAAAAAACGCAGGAAAATTATTGCGCAGTCATATCATTTGCAGATAAATTAAATAAATGATAAAATGTACAAACGATATATTTTCTCGGATCAATCCAACAATTTATCAGAAAAGTTTCTTAAAAATAATAATTTTTGCTAAAAGGGCGGAACTTTTTTAAGTGAAGCCATTTCAAAATCTACGTCTTCAAAAGTTTTCATAAATTCATTCAAAAGTTGATCTGGTACCTCTGAAAAACTAAATTCAAATCTTTCAAAACTCAAACTAGAACATTCGCAGGTTATTGTACTCAATAAATTCCATAATCTTAATTTAGAACTTCATCTGACCTAAAAACATTTGAACTTTTGAAATAAATCTTTAAAATCGCCAAATGTAATTCAATCAACGATTTCATTTGAGATCCTCGAAAAGATGAGTTTCGTTTTTCAATCTTCAAATTTAGTTTTCCGAACATGTCGACTAAACTTTAAGTACGTCTCGAATTTTCGTCGGAAATTTTCCGGAAATTTTCAGCGTAAAATTATTTGACAGCCTCGAATACTGCGCTCTGATTAGCATCAATCGAAGTTTGAAAAATCATCTTAATCAAAATAAAATAGTTAATTGCTCCTTCGGATAATGAATATGATGTGCAAATGTGTCCTTGAATCCCTAAAATTTCTATTTCCCGTAGGACAGACAAGTAATATTTATTTTCAACTTCTTCAACTTTCAATTTCTACTCATTAGCATTTTATTAATTGGGGTAATTAGTGTTTTGTCACTTGTGCTTTCGAAATTGGTAATAATCGTATGGATGTATTGAGGCTCGTCTACAACGAGACCCCGAGTAACTTTTCAGAAGCTCTATCTCAGCAGGACTATTTTCAGCAAGCTATAAATTTCTAGGAACTAGGTTTCATCGTAATTAGTAATTAGAGGCTCGGAGTTAAAGATTAGTTGTGCTGTAGATTGAATTCTGGTTTTGAAAAGCAATTGGAATACATGAATTTATGTTATGAGGGCAATGAATTGTTCAATTGAAATGTTAAAAATTATTTTGCATGTTAATTTTTCAATTAACAATTTTTCAGCTAACAATTCGCGTCTCTCGCTCTTCCTAATTAATAAAATTCCTTTTTAATGCCTTCATTATGATACATATTCCAATCACAATTCTAAATCCAGAATCCTAAGAAGTCAGAAAAAAAGATGAAATGAGAGAGAAGCAAGAGCCATGAATGTAAGTGCACTAAACTTTTAACGATGCTAATAAATCTAAAAATAAAAAAGTTGAGAGTCATTAAAAATTATTTGAAAAAGCATCATAAACTCGATTAAAGTTATGACAAAAATCCGATAAGAGGAACGAACCGATAAATGTCATTAATAACGACTTTTGTCATTAATTGATAAAAAAAATCAATCAGCCCCTCTCATCTCTAAATTATTTTCAGAAAAGAGAGTAACAGCGCAGATCAATAATAAATAATCAGTAACTAATGGCGATAAAGCGATAAGAAGCCAAATATTTGATTTAATGAATTTATCAATTAAATAAATAAATAGCGTTAATTAAGAGTTATTATGAGATTAATGAGGAAGATATGTCGTAATAAAACTATTGTCTCCTTCGTCTGCTGATTAATGGCTCTGATTGAAATGAAAAATAATTGCTAATTATTTCTCGTGAAATAAAAACGCAAAAGTGTTTCTACGAAATAAAATCATCAACGTGGTACTACAGTAATTAAACAGTTCGTTGATGAGTTGAGAAGATGGGAAGACTAGACGAGTCTGTCGACAGTTTCAGGAGAAATGGAAACGAACACCTATTTTGTTTTCTCATTACCAATTAATCGATGTAATTATCTCATTGTTTATTGGGAATATCTTGTATTGATTGTCACTCAGAAAGAAACTTCTGGTGGGGATAAATAAATAAATGAAATAAGGAAATGATTAAATGACAAAAGAAATTAAGAAATCTTTTATTTGATTTTTTAAAGATGTTCTGCTCCCTTTTAAACAAATTACCGGTTTTCTCACAATTTGTTCATCGAATTCACCGGAATATTTAAACATATTCCTTTTTACATTTTATCTTTATTTAATGGCCCACGAGGTTTCGTGATGGTGCGATCATTATCATGCATTTTTTCTAGTTGTGTAATTCTCTTTAAAAGTGTCGAGAAAAAAAAAACAGGAAAATGTTCGCAAAATCTTGAAAATTCATGATTCATTAAATAATGCACTGAGAAAAAAAATGTCTTTCCTTAACTATATTTACTGACCACAAGAAAATATACTTGGCATTAGCATTAGCATCATCTTATGGAAGTATTTTTACTGATTTACTGGTGGGAGGTAAATATATTTGGCAACAAATTTTTTTCCTAGTGTGACAAAAAGTAAAAAGCCGTTATATATTTTAGCGTCAATCCGATTGTAACTTTGCCAGAAAAATTGAGAGAAACATGAATTTGATGGGAAGGGTGCAGAACACCCTTAAACGATCCATTTCTAAAAAAATGATGAGATTTTTTTTTTAGAAAAAAATCAAAGGACAATCTTCAAAGTTCAAGTGAAATGAACAAAATAAATTGGAAAATAATGTTCTGAATTGAGAGGAATTTATGACGCAATTAAAACAATGACTTGATCGATAAGTAAATTAATTTTTTTGTATAAACTCATTTTTCAGCTACTGTACCTACATCCACCTGTTGCCTCTTATGGCTTTCATTGTTCCGACTCCAAGCGACTTCATATAAATACCAATTACACATATAAAGTGGAAAGTTAACGGTTTGCTTTGAGTGCCAGCAGGAAGTAACAAACACAGCAATGAAATTTCCAAATCTCTTGATTTTCCACAGAAGGAGTAACAAACCATTACAAATGGTAACATCAAAGTATGTGAAATAATTCAAAGTTCTTCACGAATTTGCCCAATCCCTTGGGTTTTCAGGTGTCTCAGTCATCGAAAGATCACGTCAGGGACAAATCTACTGATGAATCTAAAGACTACAGTGGGAGTCAATATAATTTATAAATCCTACTACATCCTGTTATATTTACTCAAATCAATTTCAATTATACAAGATGCTACTACTCAATTGTTCTGAGAAAAAAAAATTGAATTGCTCATTCGGTGATTGATAAATTAATTGTACGAAAAGTCTGCATTTTTTTTTTCAGTTCTCTTGTTTTTCATAATTATTCAATTTTGATGACATAATCTATTGTTAATTATTATTAATGAACGTATGCTTTTTTTTTTTGAAAATATTGTAATCCTTCAGTTTTGAATAATTCAAGTTTTTTTTTTGTAGTTAGTGCTGCTTTTATTTAGAGTCACTCTAAACTGTTATGGTCGTACAATACTGGATTAATTGGTATTAACCACGCGTTGTTGCTATATTACGATAACTCGTGGCGGATAGGCATCACAATTTGCGAGGATGACTAATTACATGGCATTAATTCAGTTGGAAACTAAAATAAGTTAATTAGTTGAAAGCTAATGTTTCTCAATTATCTCCTGAATAGATCAGAAAAACAGGTTTTACTGTAATCTACTGAAAATATTTTTGTGGAGTCCACTGAGAATAAATCCGTGCAAGAAAAAAAATGTTTTCGTGAAGACTTGATTAACTTGAGAGAAGTATCTATTATCATAAAAATAGAATTTGTTCAGAGGAAACGGCTCCAGGGAATTTGGAGTAGGTGTCAAATTATTGACCATTAGGTCATGATTATTATAGATATTTATTATTTTTTTCTATAAGAAAAATGGTTTATATTTTTTAATGCACTAGCACTCCCAGGTGAATAGTATGCATTAAAAATTATCTGACAGCATTTTTTCCTTTAATTTCCTATGAGATCTACTGCGCACAACGCGCGCCGAATTTGAATTTCCCGGTTCGAGTTGACCAATAAGGAGTCAGTCTTATGAGCTTCAAGATATTTCGACTCAGGCGAATTTCGTCGTTGTGTCTCTTTGATAATATAAAGATTTATCAAGAATTAGCACTGAAGATCAATCATAAGATAATTGAATTGAAGAGTTAGCTTATTCCACCATTCTAATTCCACCATTTTAATTCTTAGAAGGTCCACAAAATGGCGGAAAACGTCGGGTAACTCCTCACATCTTCTGGAATCCTGTTCCAAAACTCCGACCTTGACATTCTAGATGCAGTACAAGAATTTACTCATCAAAATAGGGAAAAGATCTAGTAACTCTTCAATTCTTTTGTCATGCCATTATAAAACTGTCATTTGATTAGAATCTTAACGAAATGCGCTTTAGATTTTTGTTCAATTTTCTTCAACTTCTTTAATAGGACCGCAACAGAATTGAAAAAATGTCCGACTGTTCGGCAATTTGGATTCTTAGTATGACGGCCGGTCCCTTTAAGACAAATCGATCATTGAACAAGAATCGACAATAAATCGACTGATCGAAATTGAAACAACCGAGAAACTCCTCGCTTTTTTAATATAGTGGCGCTTTCGATATTTAATATCCCGAAATTTTTTTATTTATCATGAAATAATATATATATATAATCGCATTGCTTTAAAGGATTGTTGTGTTCGTTATGATCTTTAACAAATCCATAAATATCAATATTAAACAATTCTGTGAATTTCGCCTGCTACGAAAATGTACCTTAAGAAAATGAGTAATACATAAAATTTATTCAAGGGCATACCCCACATCATCATCCTCTAAATCAATTTGATGATTATCACGATTATTATCGGAATCTAATCAGAATTCCCAACAAATTAGACAATTAGAGCAATAATATCTCGAAAAAATACATACTTCTCTCAAGTAAATGGGTTCTTGGCGAAAATCATTCTTCATTTAGCACACAGCGTTAAATATTGGTAAAAAATTGTTGCGTAATTTCGCAACTAGCGGGTAACACATAAATTCATGAAAGGACTAACGCAAAATTAACGTATGTTTTCTCTTCATGTACTCGATTTTCTCTAACAAGTTTTTCAACTTACCCGCCTGACCTAGTAATTTCCGATATATTTAAGAGACAATGGGAAAAATTTCAGGATTCACCTTGAGTTCTTATAAACTTCACTACATAATTACTCTGCGTTTGGGCTCTAGGCAATATTTCAGTCGGATGGGTCATGTTATTGATCTACTTTCGTAAAATGTTAACTAGAATCTACGATTTTCTACATTGCTATGATGATTTTTTTGTCGGCACATAAGCAGGAGAGTGGATGATACAAGTAGTGACGGATAATTTTAATTTTTTTCATTTCACTCCGATGATGGTGTCTAGTAATAAATCTACCCAGTCGATCTAGAACTAGAAATATTTGGGTGTGGCTTCGGTATTCTGTGATGTTCAATTAGTGATCTTCAAGGAGGTAATAATAAACAACTAATTGAAAGAAAAAAATTAACAATTTCATGATGGACTTTTTTCTCTTTCTGAACTTGAATGCATGATGCCAACTGCATAATGCAAACAATTGTTTATTACTTAGATTGCTGCCTTTCAATAGACTTAGGCCTATAGACGATTTTTTCAAATTAATTCTGAAAAAATGCGAGGGGTTACTCGTTTTTAAATACCATGACACGATGATTGATGATTTTATGTGATTTCAAAGTAATTTTAAGTAATTTCTTGGAATATTTTATTTCAAATGATTTCGAATGATTTCAAATGGTTTCAAATGGTTTCAAATTATTTCAAATTATTTCAAATGATTTCAAATGATTTCAAATGATTTCACATTATTTAAGGTCTCATTTAATATGATTTTAATTCATAGTGGCAGTGATTTCACCAATGAATCGCCCCTCGAAAATTCATTGAATTAATAACACACCATAATTAGGGAAATTATGAAAAAAATACGTCTATAATTGGAAGTGGAGGTCAGCTGTCTTGAAAAATCACTGACATGAATCATTAGACGGGGGATTAAAAAAAAATTGGATAATGTGCGAGTAGAAGGGTGTAGCAGGGGCAGCCAATAATAATTGATTAGGTTTTCTCCTACCTTTGACGTCGTCGTCCTCGATTGTGGTGCTGCTGTCGGTTGATTCCTTCACCTGAGAGCCATCGCCCTTCTTCGGCATAATGCTTCGAGCTGGAGTACGCAAATGTATAAGATCAATGACAACTATCATGAATATTTTTTTCAATGTGGGAGAAGGTTTTTAATTAGGTCTAAATGATACGGGGTTCACAATTTCAACTAGCCGTCGTAATTACATGATTATGATGATAATTATTATAAGTATTACTGAGGGTTTCACTAGAACACAACAATTCAAATTTTTATATCTATTTTAATGAGCAAAGGTTTAGATTATTAATGCATTAAGACTGCGAGTGGATATTATCTGGGTGGTTTAATTTTTAGATTGTTAATGGAAAATATTTCGAAATTCGGAGGTGCTCAAAATTTCTTGCAATTTTCAACGTGAAGGCGTTTGAATTCAATGTCAATTAAAGCCTTGGGAAAATTCAAGAAAATTAGGGGTTTCATTGCAAAATTACTGATTTTTTTATTTTCTCACAAATTGTCGATCAGATTCACCCGAAAATATACTAATTTTATACGTTTTGTCATTATTTCATGACTCGCCAAGTTTCATGAGCGTGCGTAATTTTCTTGTGGATTTTTTAGAGTGTTATGAATTCTTGAATTATTTAAATGTTCTGGTAATTCCCAATTTTCATGTTCAATTTGAAACTGTTCCCTATTCAATAAATAATATTTATTTGGCGACAAATGGAACAGTATTTGCTACTGAATTTTCAGGATGAGAATTAAAATCGCAATTTCATTGAATTTCAATTTCAATGTAATTCAAAGTCACATAATTGAAAGTTCAGATGACATTGTGACTGAAACTTCAAGAAATTCCTGGAAAAACCGTAAATTACCCTCGAATGACCGAATTTCGAAAAATTACATTAACAAAATAAAAATAAAATCATCTAGATGTCCTTCTACAGATAATACGGGCCTTAAAAAGTTGGAGATCTTTAAATTTATCTCAATAGTGATTTGTCTAGAAGAGATTATCTCATCATCCCCCTTTACGATATTAATGGAAAAATGAATAAAATTTGACCTTGACTCGAATTTCAATTGCATTACAATACGCATTACAATTTGCTCTTTTATTATTATATTTCTGTTCCTTGAGTCATAAAATTAAATGAATTTGTTTGGATTAATCTATGAAATATTAAATTCTACTAATAGATTAAGCTCTACCATCCTACTTCAGTGCTTTAAGTTTTTCCGTTCAAGTTGTAAAAATATTGAAGTGGAATGCCTAGTTGATTTACAACCGGAATTCATTGCTGCAGAAGTTTACGTTGTCGGTAGTTGTAAAAAATGTCGAATGGGTTGGGAAATGGAGATGCAGGCAATTGTCAATTCAAGTGGCTACATTACAGTTCTTATTTAATAGTCTTTTACAGTGATCGTCAAGCTGTTAGCAATTGTCAGTCATAAAAATGCGGAGGATGAACTAATTAATTACAGATTAATATGTTGATACCGAAGGATGATGCGGGTTTTTGGAATGATTTAATTTGGATTATAATGTTGGTATAAGTAAAATATGAGAAATAACATTTGTCCTATCAGAAATGACAGACTTCTAATTAAACAGTGAATTGAGAAGAAAATGTCAGCACAGAGGGAGAAAAATTCACGAAGACATGAGTTCTTTAATTTTTTATGTAATATTCTCTCCTTGCAATTTCTCCAACATTTTCACGGAAAATCCATTTGTTACTAAGATCATTTGATGAAGTAGTATTCATTCTTTTTTCATAATCATAAAATGATTAATTATTTCAGCTGTCCTCAAAATTTTATTTCTCATTAAACAATACCAGTCAAAATATTACGTGTCAGAATTTTAACAACTTACATATCACCGGTGAAATAACATAATAATGATAGCAATAATAATAATAATAATAATATTATTAATTATATTAATAATAATAACAATATAATATCATTGATCACTAGAATACCTGTGAGAATCATCGTTATTGAATTTTATTGCAATTTTTTTTTATTGCATTTGCTTGCTTAAGGAATTTCCGATATCTACCAATTTCTCATTTTTTTTTTACAAATTTCTAGGGACCCCTGAATGAGGTTGACGTGAAAAAATAATCGTTTTTATGTTTTATCATTTACATTATTATTCATTAGCCGTGTGTTTATTCTCAAAATTTTTAGTAGATTTTTGGGAATTTTGATCAAGGTTTACTGAGACGTTTACTAAAGCTTTGTGATACATTGCATAATAATAAGCCTTAAATAAAAAAAAAATAATAAATAAATAAATTTTTTCACATCAATGTTATTAACAGTTCCTTAGAAATTGGTAAAAGAAAGTTTTTAATGAGAAGATAACAGCAGTAACTCCTTAACGTTTATCACAATTAGCGATTTGCTTCTCATACATTAATCAATAAATAATTATTACTACGAATTATAGTAATCAATAATAATGGATAATAATAATCAATAATGATATTCACGGTTAATATTCTGGCAAATAATATTTAGACATGCAACCAAATAAATATAAGTCAATGAGATTTAAAAAATGATTAATTGTTACAAAAGCTGTAATTAAATCTCAGATAACTCAAACAAATTCAGGATGAAAAGAATAAAAACTAATTACAAAGTAATTTGTAGGAAGGATGAATAATTAACTTCCGCTGATCTCGATAGTCGGTTCACGATTACGGAAGGTTTATCCGACATGTAAAGAGACCAATCGTGAGATAAGTGGAACGAAAAGCTCCTCTTGTTTTCAATTCGGTGGTAAAGTACAAAAACCAGATAATTCAATTCTACTTCAAAAAGATCCTTTCCAAAAAAACCCGAGACCCGAAGAAGATTGTAGAAATATTATTTGAACTTTTAGTACATTCCCTCTTTTACTCTGCAAAAAGTTGGAAGAAAAAAAACATGTGAAATATGGAAATCCCCTTGAGTCTCCGAGATATCGAGGAAAAGCTCTCCAATAAATCCAGATAATCATTGGGTGATGGTAAAGCAATATTTACACGACCATGCAGTGAATGATGGTAATAACGATTATATGGGGTAATGGGAAAAATAATTTATAATTTTTCAGTGATAACGAGGAAAGGGAAATTCGTAGATTCGTAGATCATACGGTATGCTAAAAGTTATTGTGCAATTGAGACAGCGATAACCCACTTTTAACTCTCATTGTTTCCTGCAATTGGATGTACAGGTATAAAGTAATCTAAAGAAACATCTGTCGTGGAGTATCGATTTTGTAATAAGCAAGGTAATAAAAGCTGAACAAGAAGACAGAAGTGAAGTAAGGACTCAGTGTCCTGGTCTCATCCAGAGTCCAATAAAACGGGAGCACTTGGACGAAATGTTTTGTTTAGTAGGATGACAATAGTGGTGATAAAACGAAGGATTTGTTGAACTCAACGTCACATCTCAGATTATCCTTCCGAATTTGATCGAAGTATACAGAGTCTCCTGTTGTTTTTCCCTTTCTAACTTTTTGTTTTTATTGTTCGCATTAAACCAATAAAAAAAAGCTTCTATTTATCCCTCAATCGCATCCCACCTGAGAATTCATTTGGTGTCAAGTGCTCCTGTCTCGAGTACCACTTAAAAATAAATCTAGAAGAGCATTTCTTCCATACAAAGCACTTGCTCACATCCCAATTGCACAATTTAAATTTCCCTCCGCTGTTTAAAAATCATTCTTGAAATTTCAACTTAAAAATGGGAAATTTCTAGCAATTCTTGAATATTCTGGCAATTCTCAATTTTCAGGTTGATACGCCAGAGAATTTTCAATCTATTGATGATTCACTTGCAAATCTCGAACTTTCATTAAAAAATCAATTATCATTTAACACGATAAAACTCAATTTTATTAATATTCAAGATAAATGACGGAGTTAATGATCTATTTTATTGACATTTAATTAAAGCTCATATTATAAAAAAATTAGACAACTTTGTTGTTATGAAAATCTCGAGAAATTTAGAGCAGTGCGAATATGAAATGATTAATTCATACGTCCCACCAATTAAGTGAAGTAGATTTAGATAATTACAATTGCATGCAGAAGCTTTGACATATTATACCTGTAAATCAATACTGAGTAATACGATGAGATTAATTACGCATGCGATATTAATGAGGCGATTGTCAGTCGGTCAAAACGTCCTTAAGTGTCTCTTGCCATCATAATCATAATTAATCATAATTAAATCTAAGATGAAATTAAATAACGAGTGCAAATGCATCATATTATTAATGAATCATGAGAATATTTCTGGGAATAGTAGTAATGTAATTAAAAGTAGTAAATGAATGAAGGGACAACGCCTCCGACCCAATTCACGCTTTTTTGGCTTCGATATGGTGGATACAGATTATTATAAAATAGAAGTATGAGTGATATGGTATGATATGCATGGAATTTATGGTGTGATGCAAATAAATCCTGTAAACTTATGATAACTGTATTGTAAAATTATGACGTTTGCATGTTTGATGGGCCATTTAGCATTTTTGTTGTTGTTCCCTCAATGCATACGATTATTCAACTTCGTCTCATTACATTAACGAATCTGCTTTTCAATTACGAAATTGATTGATTCGTTAAATGAAACTAGGCCCCCAATGCACGTTCATGGATAATTAACGCCTTAGCACTGAAAATCAATTATAATATATAAATACATATTCTGTAATAATTTAATGATAAAAGCAACGATAATAAATCGATTTTTTTAAATAATCAACTATCACATTTCACGTTATAATTATTTTTCATTATTTTTCATTATTTTTCATTATTTTTCGATATTTTTCATTATTTTTCATTATTTTTCATTATCCTTCATTATTATCGCTTTCATTAGAGTTATCAACATGCGTTTATCGAGAGATATTTAAATTATAAATTGTTCATCTATCTACTCAGTCTACAATTTACGTAAAGTTCAACTAAAAAATATAAACAAATTTTTCTTCTTGCTTGAAATTTAGTATTACTCCATGTCAGATCAACTGCGCCTCCTGTTTATATTACTTTTCGGATATTCAATATATTGAATAATTAATTTCTATAAATCGCCTGTTAAATATTCGATATATCGACCAGCAAGTTTCATCTACTTATTGATTTTCTTGATTCATCGATTTTATTCATTGAATTGAAATATTCAAAATTAAGACATTCCTTCCATCACTGGTTAAATGAGTTTCACCGATTTTTTTTGTTGTTACATCAGAGAACAATTGATAATTGATAATTGATAATACCGAATTGCCTAATTTGAATCGATACATTCGATTTTTCGGGACAAATCGATTGTTGAGGTAGAATCAATTAATTGAATTAAAAACAAATTAAATGAATATCTAAAAGAAGGAAACACTGGGAAATAAAAGGCCATCGTTAATTTAATAACAAAAAAAGAAAAATCGCCAGATAATCGCATAATTGTATCGATTTCCGAATGATAATCGAGGAAAAACAAATAATAATATGTAAGATACCAATAATGGTAGTGGTAGGCGGAAAAAATATCCCCGGAAAAAATAGCCCACACACCCAAAACGTGTTAAAACCC